ATACCCTGACACACAGCAGATACACAGACACATAGATATATATACCATGACATAACTACAGATACACACATTGACATACAGATACATACCCTGACACACATACTGACACACAGATACATACACTGAAACACATGCAAATACACCAGGGCTTGACAAATTTGCTTGTAATCTAGGAGCCAGCTAAAAAAAGTTACGAGCCAGTATTTTTTTTTTAACTAACAAAGCAAAAATAGAATTCTTAAAGGGACACCATAGTCACCAGAACCACTGCAGCTTATTATAGTGGTTTTTAATGTAAACACTGCCTTTTCAGAGAAAAGACGGTGTTTACATTGCTGCTTAGTAACACCTCTAGTGGTCCTTAATCAAACCACGCTCGGCATGGAGGCACTTAATGTTCCCCATAGTGATGCATTGATTCAATACATCTCTTTGAGGAGATGAAGATTAGTGCGTGCACAATAGCCTCTTCCACAATAGGCTCCTCATATGGAAAAGCATTGCTTGGCTGAGATCATCAAGGTTGATTATCTCAGCCATGGAAGCGGATTCAGCCATGGCGAGACCGTCAAGGCGTGGGAAAACAGGTAAGTAAAATCACCTTTCTCAGAGGGGGACCGGTCACCTAAACAGACACTCACTGACAGACAGACACACACACACACACAGACATACACTTGCTCGCAGACAGACACACACACAAAATCTCAGACACACAGACACACATTCAGAAGTTGAATTTTAAAAATGATTTTGATTGAAACTCACCCAGCCTTCCTACCTTTTGGAGAGATGAAGTAAATAGGCTTTCTGTCATCTCCCTGCTCTGCTCCCTGTCGCGCACTGTTCAGTTTAGTATGCCAGGGGCCGGAATGACGTCATATTCTGGCTCCGGGCATCTTTGCAGGGCGCGCGAGGGAGCAGAACAGGGAGATGACAGCTCACTCCCCTGTCCCCCCCACCCCCCTATGTCTATTCCACACAGCGCCCACTGGCCTGTCTCTGCCCTCCCTCAAGACGCACATGCTCGCTCCGTGGGGGAGCAGAGGTGGCCAGTCAGCCATTCGTGGGAGAGCGGAGGCAACCGGCCAGCCAGCCGTTGGACAGCGGACTTTTAACTCATGGTTGACATACAAACATAACCAACCACTTTTCCTACTTTCTTTTCTCGATCCTTCCTAAATAATGTGTAACCATTTAAATTAACTGCCCAGTCATGTAGGGCTGGCTCGTCCATTGGAGTGAGGGGCCCGGCTGCCTGTTCCGGGTCCTTGCTGGTGTATACATTGAAGATGGGGCCCAGGTGTGTAATTTTAGCAGCAGGTCAAGCAGCAGCAGGTACTCTCCTCTCGCAAGCCGCGAGAGTCTTGCAAATGCTTTTCCTATGGGAATGCTCTTGCGGCTTGCGAGAGGAGAGTTCCTGTTGCTGCTGGAGTTGTAAGATTATTTTCCTGGGCCCTCTCTTCACCGTCCTCCTGCTCAATTGGACCACCAGGGTATCAAGTATCCTGCCCACAGGTAAGAAGCAGGGAGGGGCGATAAAATAAATAAAAGACAACTGCTCACCCCCACATTTAACTAAACACCACAAACACACACTGCATGCACTACACTAACACAGACACTGCATATACTACACAGACACTGCATTAACTATATACACACACCCACACATGCATGCTCTGCATCCACTATACACACACTGCACCCACTACAGACACTGCAAAACATAATGGATATTGGCATGTTTTACTGGATGTGGTTTTGTTGGGGATGGGGGAGCAGCATTCCTTCCTTGGACCCAGGCAGCACAATGTCTTGGGCCGGCCCTGCAGTCATGTGTCTCATCCCACTAATTTTCTGTTATGCCTATTATGTCATATTGCCTAGTATATGCTATGGACTCTAGTTCCCCCATTTTATTATTTAAGCTATTTGCATTAGTGAGCATACATTTAATATTATCATGAGTCACTTGCACTTTATGAATTGTTTTATTACTATTTTATAACTTTTCTGTTCTGATCTTGCCCTACCCCCCATCTCCACTCTCCTTATGCTGAGTTCATCTCCTTTCTGTCCGATCTCCATGTTGTAGACTTCTTGGTCCCTCCCCCCCTACCACTAGTTTAAAATCTCCTCCAACCTTCTAGTCATCATGTCTCCCAGCACAGCAGATCCTCTTCCGTTTATTTGCAATTCAGCACAGCTATACAGATTGTACCCAAACGCAAAATCAGCCCAGTGCTCTAAGAAGCCAAACCCCTCCTTCCTACAACATGACTTGAGCCACGCACCTCTTTTAATTCCCGCTGCCTTTTTACTGTGGTGCAGGGCACAGGTAATATCTCTGAAAATACTACCCTGGAAGTCCTTTTCTTTAGTTTACTTCCTGATTTCATTCATTTAAATCTCCATTTTTGTCTAACTTTGTCATTGATACCAATATGCACTATGACAGCTGTGTCATCCCCAGCTCCTCCCAATAATCCATTCACTGTCAGCAACATGCCTGACTCAAGCATAACGGAGACAGCACTGTTTGGTTGAGCTAATCAGAGCTGCAGATTACCCTATCTACACTTTTAATTATAAGGTCCCCTACCACTACAATCTGTCTAGCTTTTATTACACTAATATGGACCAAGCTTAATTTGTTTTTCACTCAAGGCCCAAAGTCGTTTTTGCATTTTTGCTGTGTCTTTAACCGCAATTATCATCTTTCTCATTTACACTGCTCAAAAAAATAAAGGGAACACAAACATAACACATCCTAGATCTGAATGAATTAAATATTCTTCTGAAATACTTCTTTAGATGTGCTGACAACAAAATCACACAAAAATTTAAAAATGGAGATCAAATTTTTGAACCCATGGAGGTCTGGATTTGGAGTCACACTCAAAATTAAAGTGGAAAAACACACTACAGGCTGATCCAACTTTGATGTAATGTCCATAAAAAAAGTCAAAATGAGGCTCAGTAGTGTGTGCGGCCTCCACGTGCCTGTATGACCTCCCTACAACGCCTGTGCATGCTCCTGATGAAGTGTGATTGACTTGGAGTTACATTGTGTTGTTTAAGTGTTCCTTTAATTTTTTTGAGCAGTGTACTACACCAACACATATTATACTGTTGTTTAAAGGACAAATAGGGCTTTAACTTGATGTGACATATATGTAGTTCTACGTCAAAAAATACAAGGGAGTAATATAAAATTTCAATGTGTAGTCATTTTAGAGGTCGGAATGTTAGTCTTGTAAGTTTAATAGCAAAGACAAAAAACTAAATTGGCACATAAAAAGTATATATTTATAAAAAGTAGTTATCATAAGCCATTTACCTAAAGTTATTATTTAACTGCCAATTTCTGCTAAATATTGTTGTAGAATTTAGTTTTCATTTCCTAAAATGTTAACATCTGATGCGTTTTTTTTCAGAATAATTTGCAAACCTGATATGTGCTAATACTGTACCAAACTCCCTATTGTATTTAGCTACATCTTTTGAGTAAGACCCGGAATGCCTGCCTTTGCCACTATCCTGTGAAGCTACAACGCCAAATACAAGAACCGACTATTTCAGTTTTTGCAGTTACAATTTTTATAGATGGATTTGACTGTTGAAATTACCCCACAAAGACCTACCATTTGTGAAAGTAGACATTCTTGGCTATCTCATGTGGTGTATATTGTGCCTTGGCATGCTGCAATTTTTTTTTTTTTGCCAGTTTATGTAAAGGTTTGTGGCAATTTCTCCTTTCTTTATTTTTTTCACATACAATTACATAACATTACATTACAATTTAACTGGCCATTTCTGAAACCTGATATGTGCCACTCCCCCACCCCCTCCAAACATGCTCAGCAAACTCTTCTGAACAAATACCCCATATGTATGCCTTTGGTACTAATTTGCACTTGCATTGCAATATCAGAGACCAGACTTTTTCAGTTTTTAATGTAAGACTTTTCATTGACGAATTTGTTGGGTCTATTACGCATTTTGGAGCATTGTAGCAGTTTCACAATTCAAATCATGTCATAAATGCATGTCATTTGTAAAAGAAGACTCCACAGGCATGACATATGGCACATTTTGAACCTTATTTTAGCACCAATTTCTTTCTAAGTTTATAGTATTTTATTTTCACATTTTTGTTTTTAGATGCACATTGCAATTTAGCGGTTTACTTTCTAAACTTCATATGTGCTACTGTAATAGTCACTGAAGTATGCTCAGCTATATCTTCTAAATACAGAATGACGCCCTTGTTAACTTTTTGTGAAAATACAGAGCTGACTTTTTAATTTGCCCATTGCAGTTTATATATATATATATATATATATATATATATATATATATATATATATATATATATATAAAAAAATTGGCAAATTGAAGATGGTTGTTTCCCTTTGCTAATAGGAGTACTGATATTGGCAAATGGAATTTAAACTAAAACAGAGTGGTATGTTGCTGCCATCTACTGGCTATTTTCAGTATGACAGATTTATATCTTTAACATTGAACAAATATACCCAATGAATTTCGATCAGTAAACCTAACAACACCCATCACTGATCAAAATACCATTGGAGCAAGGAAGGAGATCCTCCAGGGTCTGTTCAGACAATCAGGGTCTCAAAATCACCACATCAAGTGAGAGAACTGTGGCTAAGCTTGATCACTCAGCTGAAGTGTTCTCTATGGATTTAAAGGGCTATGATCAGTAATAATTTTCAACAATGCATGCAGCTCATCAAAAAGTATGGGGACACTAAAAATGGCCCCAGGTGACATAGATAGGATTTAACCCTGCTTGCACTACATTGCTGTCTATGTGAATTTAAATCCCAATTGAAAGACCTACATGCCAATTGCAATCTGAGCTTTGCTTGCAGCTCACCTGTCAGTCTGGGGCCACTAAACATGTCCCCCAGCTGACAGAGGGGATCTACAGGTATCAAAAAGTTCCTTGGTACCAGCAGGGATTTAACCTCTGAAGGTATTTTTATTGTATGATTAAAGCCCTGCACTGCACGATGGTATAGGCTTTAAGTAGTAAGAGACTACTTTCAAGCAACTCCAAGTGAGCAAGCTCAGGGAGTCAGCTATGGATTTATATAGGTATGCAAAAAACAAAAAAAGGGGAACTTTAGGGACTACTCTCCTATTGTACTAAGCAGCAGCAGACAGGGGAAAAAAACAAAAGAAAAACTGCATTTTAATAATTTCAAGTCAAGCAGATTTATTGAATAAAGAAATACCAACCTCTGTCCACAATTTTTAGATCTCAAAGGATTACGCCTGTTTTTGAACTCCTAGTTAAAAATAACCAACTTAAAAAAAGACTACTTTTTAGCAACTCCAAACAAGATAATGAAGAAGTCAAACCAAAGAGGAAAAACCTGAATATTTTCTAAATGTATATATATTTTAATATAACATTATTAGATTGTTTAAAATTACATTACAGCATAGTGCTCTTAAAAAAACAAACAAACCACACAAATGGAACGATATGTCAGTTTTATCCATACAATGCATTTACTAGCATTACTTTATTTTCTTCCCCCAATCTGGAAAAAATGAAATGCTATAAGTTAATGCAAAATTTTTTTTATCCAAAAGTTATATTGGAGAAGTCAGTCTTTACATTACCCAAGTGCAATATTTTCATACATTTATATATATTTTTGTTTCAATTCAAACACTGTATATATACAGACACATATATGCAAACTACTCTGCCTCGTGCAAATTATGCCATGTTTCTATAAAATTAAATATTTAGGATATGTCTATTTACTGTATCAGTGCTCAGTATAGGATAAATAAACTTTTGATAAATCGATAAGTTATTACTTGCATATGTAAACAATTAAGAATTAAAAAAAATGTATAATTTATAAAATGTATATTTGCAGAAAATCTGCATAGATGGTAAAACTCCTTTGGTTTTCCTATATTACAAAACAAGGAGCAGTTTGTACACAATCTTTCTACATTTCCAAAATAAATAGTGTTTTTGCTTGTATGCTCAAGTCATTAGCAAGGGCAAAAAAAAAAACTCTGTTTCTTTAAAATCTGGTTGTACAGATAAGCAGCCAAACAAATATTAAATTCCAGCGTGTTTTGAGATTGTTTATGGACATGCTAGAAAAGCTAATAAGCATTTTAAATTGCCATTTTCACAAGGCATAGTCTTGGCAGGAGGAGTCACTTTTTTTACGACGTGGAGAAGTGGTGGATTTAGTAGGAGATGGTGATGCTGTACCGGGTGATTCATTTCCACCATCCCCTGAACTTGGTGATGAGCCTAAAACAGGTGCTTGAGAAATTTTTCTTCTTCCCAAAAAAGCTCCATCGAATCCACTTTTCTTTTTATTTTCTGACTTTAATTCGTTGTCGTCATCTACAGATTTTTTCCGGACATCTGTGTTTTCCTGTATTTTACAAGCATCCATAATGCCTTCTAGAACTTTGCTGGCTCTTATCGTTGTTCCACCCTTTTTATCAAGGGAGCTGCTTTCCCAATCAGACTGTTTTGCTTCATTTTTAACCAAAACACTCCCATTTTCTGACATTGCCTTCTCGACCGTGTTTTTGCCAAAGCTCAAAGAATGAAAATCCCTATAGCTGTGAAAGCTTTCTGTTCTTCTTGCCCTGGCTAACAGTGGACTCTCACGATAGGGCCTTACGGAGCCATAGGTTGCAGGTTCATGAATTGTTTCATGGTGAAGTTGTAAACTGAAACACAAATAAAGGAGAGTTTGGTGTAATTAAAAAAAAAAGAAGTTTTGTTACATGTATATTGTAATGCATCTAAAAATAATAAATTAATATTGTCTTGCACAGACCACTATAGGCACCCAGACCACTTCAGCTCAATGAAGTGGTCTGGGTGCCAGGTCCCCCTACTTTTAACCCTGCAGCTGAACACATAGCAGTTTCAGAGAAACTGCTATGTTTACACTGCAGTGTTAATCCAGCCTCTAGTGGCTGTCTCCCTGACAGCCATTAGAGGTGCTTCCGCAATTTACACAGAGTAAATCACAGTTATTTGACGCTTTGCTATAGGTGGGTTTGAATGCGCATTCGGCTCCATTCGGGAGCTGACATCAATGTAGGAGGAGAGGTCACCAGTGCCGAGGGAGCCTGACGTTAGATTAAGTTAAGCAAATAAATGGTTACTATTTAATTGCCGCGGAAGGGGCCCTACTTACTGTTTAGGTGACTAGGGCTCTATAGCGTTAGGAATACATATTTGAATTCCTAACGCTATAGTGTTCCTTTAACCCCTTAAGGACACATGACATGTGTGTCATGTCATGATTCCCTTTTATTCCAGAAGTTTGGTCCTTAAGGGTTTACGCTCTAGTCTTGTGCAAGAATGATTTTGTTCCCATGCAAAATGCTGTCACTTATTTTCCAATTCACAGCTAAGGCTCCTTATACAAACCAATCTATCGACCCCCTCTTTGTCAGAACCAAGTGAATGCTCATGGAGGCTGCCTGTGGCTGTCTGTGGTACAGATCTATGTTGTGCTATGCATATAAAGGCTGATTAATAACATAAAGCCCTTTCTCTGTCTCCAAAGGTGAAACAGCATCTTTAGTTGAAACAATAACAATGACCATTATTACGTGTTTACAAGAAATCCTTGAAAAAGGATGAAAGTCACAGAGAAGTTGTCTATTTTTACTGACTTCCTAAATGCAGTTTAAAAGTGATGATTCAAAAATCAGTCTGTGTGTAATGCAAGTTAAGGATTAATGGGGGCATCTTGTTGTTACAGTACATCCTCAACAATAAAATTAGATATGGGAAATGTAGGAGAACAGCCAATAGACAACGTGTACAATACAAATGGTCAAGAGCAGAGAAGGATATTGGTGAAGCGAAGTAGGCACCAACACAACCGAGCCAGAGGTCTTGCTTCTCTGGCTAGTGGCAGTATGACTTGAGGTAAAAGTGGGAGTGGTGCCTTGGAAGTCCTGAGATGTAGACAAGGGGAAAACGGATAGTGTACTATATTCTTTCAAATAAGAGGCAATAAGTAGTAAAGAGCATGCACACTTCCATGAGCTAGGGTCTAGCTCCAACATATGTGTTTAAACAGTGTAATCTCTGCTCATGGATAGAGATGCACTTCTCCCTACATATAACATTCTCAGCAAATTGGAGGGAAACCATATAGAGCAGTATATTTGTGCATGATAGGTGCAAACATATATAAATGCAATGCAGGAAGACCATAGAGACTAACAGTCTGTTTTCAAACACTGCCTGACCAAAGGTCCATGGCTGAAGTATCCTGTCATATACTAAAGATAGGGATGAGTTTTTTCTCATTTTGTTTACATGTACTTCATTAAATAAAAAAATCCTTTGAAAACATGATGAAAGATGTATTATTTAAAAAATATTTTTGAGGGCATTTTTTTTTATTTTTTAAACAATACAGTGCACACTACATACGTATGTTTGGTTAATCATATCCAAGCTGAAGACATTGCAAGATAATATACAGTGAGGATTATACACCTCCACACTTACCATAAGGAACCATTTTGGGGATCACAGACGTGTATATATTTGTTTGCACCCACCATTTACAAATACAGTATTGTTTGCCTTTAATTTGTTTCATACCCTCCTACGTTTTGTAGTGCTAGTGCTAGCTCCAGTGCACTAAATTGTAGCTCCTGAATGTAAGTGTAACTTGCTTCTTATTAGACAGAACATTGCACTATAATTATTTTGCTTGCTTACATTTTCACATTTTTGTCATTTTAGATATCTGCACTTAAGGACGTCCAAAGCGCCACTCCTATTTTTTCCTTAAGACAATAGATAGAATGAATTTGCCAAACACCACGTAATTAACTTTCTGCCATATCAGGTATGGAGAGGGAGGGGGGTTCCTTTGTGCATCAACCAATATACTGATAAAACTTATGCCATTATAATTGCATTATTACCCTGCTTTAGCTAGTAGTATTGCCAATACATAAATGTTAGAAGCTGCTTTGAGTGTATTAGTCATATGTTGTTCCAGAGTAAAACTCGAACAAAGATAATTAAAATGCAGATCTCAGTACATTATTTACATGTGGTAAATGAGAACTAAAGATCTATAATTAAGCCACCCAAGGATAGGAGAATAGATGCAACGGAATGCAGATTATTTCCAACATATTAATAAAACATGCCGCATTAAATGTAAAATTTTTACAGACAAATAACTATGGATATTTCTTACGGAAATTCAAGTAAATGTGTGTGATCCCTCATAAATGTCAATATAAGCAAATTCGCACAAAAGCCATTTCGATTTTACCTTGAGCTAGAGTCACGAAGACGACTTTGGTGTACTACTGATGTGGCAGGACTGATGTTAGGTGTGGCACAGCGAGATGCACTGAGGTCACACTGATCCAGTAACTTAAGCAGTTCTTCTTCTGTAGGACCACCGACATCTTAAAATAAAAACAAAAGTTAATTAGGCAAAACACTTTTCTACGCATCATGTTAATTTCAAATAGACAATGTCACTGTCACTTTACTTACCTTTGTCTTCTGTTTTGGTCACCATGTCCATTGCTGTAGTTAGATCCCACATTTGAATACTTCCATTCGAATGGCCAGTGAAGAGGTAGCGACGTGGTCGAGAACCCATTCTACTAGAACCTTCACATTCTCTGACAGTAAAGCATGTAATTGTAGTACAATCGACTGCCTGAATTTCACAGATTCTGAAAAAAAGATGTGACCAGAAGTCATAGTTACAGCAAAATACAGTGAGAATATAGAACAGAAAAAGTTATGCTTATCTGTAGTGCTTATAGTAGAGCAAACTATTTCTAAAAAGATTTTATTTAGCATACTTGTCCTTCCGAGAATGAAAAAGCTAATAAGGCACTCTCCTCCATTTTAGTAAATACCAGCTGCAGGGTGAATAATTTAAGTGTTTGATTGTTTACTTAAATGGACACTTTAGTCACCAGAACAACTACAGTTTATTTTATTTGTTCTGTTGAGTAGAATAATTCCCTTCAAGCTTTATGCAGTAAACACTGTCTTTTCAGAGAAAAGGCAGTGTTTACATTACAGCCTAGGGATACCGCCACTGGCCACTCCTCAGATAGCTGCTAGAAGTGCTTCCTGGGGCAGTGCTGCACAGTGTGCTGCACTACCATTTAGTGTCTCCACCCTCTGCATGGAGACACTGAACTTTCTTTATAAGGATGCATTGATTCAATGCATCTCTATGAGAAGATGCCGATTGTTCAGGACTGTGTTTGGCTTGTGCTGGCACTGGACCGGATCTGCCTGCTTGACACTTCCAGCCAATCCAATGCTTGGCACAATACTTCTGATGTCAGCTAAGCAGGCAGATCAGGAACAGACTGTAATAAAAGTAAGATTTTACTATATTTAGGAAGGGCAAGGGGGATGGAGGGGGGGATAGATGGTGTTTTAAGCACTTTAGGGTTTGTGTTCCTAACCCTATAGTGTTCCTTTAATATTTGGTGCGTAAAGAGCTGGGGTTTGATATGAAGTAGCAAGTCCATAATGTCCTATGCATTTTGAACTCTACCAGTGCGTATGCAATCAGTCAATTACATGTTCACAAACAGGGGTGATAAGCGTACTAAATGGGTAGTTTTTGTAGGCTGCAGTACACAGTACAAGGATTCCCAAACCTCATGAGTGAACAAATAGCAAAAGAAATAGCGTATACCGCACCCAGAATTAAATGTACAAGGAATATATGTACATAAATCTTCAGATGGTATAATACTGTAGACCTCAGAACAACAAAAAGATTACAATAATAGTGCAATACAGTATGGTATAGATAATAATTGAGATAATAGCTCTGTATAAGATCCACTCACATTCTATTGAGTTATTATCTCAATTATTATCTATACTGTAGCGGAGCTGCAATGTTAAATCCCAATATCTCTGCTGGTACAGAAAGTAATCCAAGTAAAGCTCTGAAAATGAAGGCAATATTCCAAATCCCCCAGTAACCGGACGAAACACAGTTCTGGGAGTCAACTGACGATTTTATTCACAAGCTCCAGTATTTATGTGGTTCCGCATGCAAGGGGTTTCCTTAATTACTTTGCAGGGGTTGTACAGTAGGGGACTACATGGGGAACTTAACATATAGAACATTTCTCCCACCATGCACTGCTGTACGAGAGGGATACTCCCATGAGAATATCCTGTTAAGTGGATTATCCTTCCATACAGCAGAACCGTCTTTTCACACAAAAATCAGTAAGTTATATTTTATTTGTGCTATTGTACCGAATGACCGTTCGGCAGATAGCTGGGGTCTGAGCGCACACTTTGTGAAAGTACCGCTCAGATCCCAGCATAAATAACTGAACACCGCACAAAAACACACTTTAATATACATTCATCATAAAAGTCCCGAATACACCATAGGGGAAAAAGTACCGAAAGACCGGCGGTCGCTTCCGAACGGCTTGGAAGTCCAGCGGTGTACATGCCGTCGAGTAGCCGATTTTAGTTCCAGGCACTCAACGGCCAAACACCGCTGGGCAAAAGGGAAATCCAAGATGGCCAAGTTCCAATGGCTATAACTTATTCCCATACAGAACTGTTTTGGTGCTACATATGGACAGGTTTTAAGACATGGATATAACATCTCCGTGAAGACAACTGGAGGAGCAGAACTGCCTAATAATTGAGCCACTTCCTGATGCATGCAGATGCAGATATACAAACTGAGTTTAATTATACAATATTCAAATTGCACTTATTAATTTTTGTGTAAATTTAACTCCAGTGGTAACTAACTTTGTCACTGCAAATGTTGTTAAATTACAATACTGGGCTAAGGCTAGTAATTTATTTAAAGGATAGCGACAAAACGGAGTCGAGTTAATACGCAATATCATATGCTTAGTACACATGTTGGAAATGTACGTAGATATATGCTATACCAGTGGGAATCAAAAAAATCTACTAAAGCAATTCTCCCTTATTCTCAACACAACTATTCGCAACAGGAGATGAAAGAATATGCCGATATAATGGTATATGCTCATACTATGTAGCTAGCTGTGGCTAGCGTTCAGTCTCCTTTTTAAAATAAGGATATCTGGGGGTGGGGAAAAAAAAATATCTACAGTTACCTTTTTCCAGTAGAAGAGAGTCTTACAAATAATTTGTTTGTTATTGGGACAACTTTTTGGATAAATACTTGCTGATCATCCCTTTCTCCAAAAGGACCTGTGAAGTAGATAAAGTTATCAATGATAGGAAAATATGGAAATAGAAAGAAGCTGGGAACTGGCAAATAAATAGGTAAAAATAGAAGCAGGTAAAACAGCGCTTCAGAGTAATATAACTCACAGGGTAACATTTTGAGAGAAACTAACATGTTACCTATGTCATTTCCAGATGAATAGCTTCCATGGCTTTCAGTTTCTTCTAAGGACAAGATTTTGAATGACGCGAGAGGTGTTGAGCCTGGCTGTGTCGATATCATTCCTCTAAAGCGTGTTACTGTCCATGTCCTGACGTGATTATTATCAGCGCAAACTGTAGGATCAAAGAATAACAAATGCATCCACTATGTAAATTAACATTGCTTAAATCATGTCAAAACTTTACAGTACAATAAAAGAGAATTAGATCTATATACTCAGCACAATGGCATTTGGCTGTTCAAACTCAGCTGTTTCAAACAAAAGTTTGAAACGTGAAACACCAGCTATTCACAAAAGGCAAATTGCGTTACTTCAGCCTTACTTGCACTACTAGTTTGCGTTCAATCAGTTAATTGTTAAAAATCTGTCACATTTGCTATTGTAGCTATTCACAAAGACTCAGACTGTAACCAATTCCTCTTATTTAGTTTGATCCAAATCCACTGATAATGATTTAGGGAAACTGCACCTAGCCCAAATCCCCCCAATCCCAAGCCGCCCTAAATAATAATACAACCCTTCTTTTACCTTAGTAGTATTGTTTTCTGTTGTATTTATTTATTTTAATACCAGGTACATTTTGTGGCTGATATGATTTGGGGGCTGTTTATCTAGCATGATTCTAACAGACAATATAGTGAAATTGTACCTGTTTAATTGAAAAATCTTTGGAAAAAATTTGCCAAAGTGGATGAATTTGTAAAGTAAATTCTATGCTTCATAAATAGACACTTGAAACAACAAATGGAATCTTACAACAAAAATTCAGCTCATTTTGTATGGAATTACAAGCTGATATTTAACATAACTTGTGATCAATATGTTGACTTGCAGGTTTTAGAAATCTCTCTTATAACTGGGTCACAGAGCAGCTTATATATTTAATTGAATACTCATTCTTGATCTGTCAAAGTTTGTTTAATGGGACACTATAGTCACCAAAACAATTTTAGCTTAATGAAGCAGTTTTGGTGTATATATCATGCCTCTGCAGTCTCACTGCTCAATTATCTGCCATTTAGGAGTTAAATCACTTTGTTTACGCATCCCTAGTCACACCTCCCTGCATGCAACTTGCAAGTCCCTCCTAAACACTTACTGTAAAGAGTCATCTAAAAGTTTACACTTTCTTTTTTGTAAATTCTGTTTAATTTAGAATTGTATATCTTCTGCTCTTTAAAAAAACTTTCTAGACCTTGCAAAAGCCTTCTGTGTGAATACAGTTAAATTTAAAGATTGGGTGATAAAATTAAGAATAAGGAAGTTAACATCTGATTAAAATGAAACCATGTTTTTTCATTCAGGTTGTGCAAGTCACAACCATGGAAGGTGTGGCTAGTGCTGCATAACCAGAAACAAAAGTGATTTAACTCCTAAATGGAACTCCAAAGTAACTACTTTGACTCAGTATATCTCTTGACTGGGTTGGAAATTACAGTAAAAGTCCAACAGAGTCAAAATGAGCATTTCATAAAGATTTTATCTTAATGAGATACAAATTTTTCAGGAGGGGTGACAGTGCTGCTTTAATGCAAAAATATAACAGACAGAGGCTTCTAAATGTTGGGCATTCACCATGTTAACCAAGGGTATGTGATATGTTAATTGCGTCACACATACAATTTTGTCTGCATTTATCTAGTAGTTGATTGTATAATAAAACCACCCTCAAATTCCACAAAGTATTGGAGCAACGATGGTTGAAATTATAAACAATATGTTAAACTGTTATCAATCAGACCTGACACAAGATGTTTTTCCGATAACATGATCTTTGTTACAGGGCTTCGATGAACTGTAAATGTCTGGAAAAGCTGTGGGCCAGAGCCGACTGTCTCTGGATGCTGAACAATCACTCTCACAGCTCCTGAGCTTGTGCCATAAGCAATTTCTATCCAATTCCCACTGACACCTAGGAGGGAAAAAAAAAAATACACAGACTGGTGAGAGAAAACTATAGGAGTAGGAAAAATATTGTTAAACATTACTTTAAAACTTGATTTTCAAGTCATTTAAAAGTATTGGAAATATCAAAGGCAGGTAACACCCTTAAAATGTACCTCTTTATTTAATAGTAAGTTATATTTCATCTATACATTGTGCTAGCGGAAATGTACTGTGTAAAAAATGTAATTAAAAATAAGTTCCTTATCCACCTGTCAATCAATTTTTAGGGACAGACCTCTCTATCCCAAGAAATTGACTGGCAGGCAGAGCAAGAGAGACTCTTTGGCACATTAATCTAAGGACTTGGAATTACACAGTGTTAGTCGTCTAAAGTTGGGTGTTGAGGGGTTCGAACTACCTTTCTTCATGGTAACATGATATGTAAGTCACATGATTCTCAGCAAGGCAAAGCTCCCCTTAACCCCATCTGTAAATAACTATTTTACTGTAAATAAATATACCACGCAGGGTACAATGCCTAATTACAGTACTAGCTATGGCAGTATACCTGGAGTTGTAATAATACATGGCATTATAAACAGCAATGTAACGCAACCAGTCGTTTTTTGTGTGACTGGTTTGTAACGGAACCGCTTGCACAGGGAATCGCATAAATACTGGAGCTTGTGAATAAAAAGTTGACTCCCAGAACTGTGTTTCGTCCGGTTACTGGGGGATTTGGGATATTGCCTTCTTTCAGCGCTTTCCTTGGATTATTTTTGTCTACCAGCGGAGATATTGGGATTTAATATTGCAGCTCCGCTGAAAGAGCTATTGGAAGCCAGGGGTAAGATAGCCAGCAATAAGTCGAAAGCTCTACTTATTGCCGAACTGATTGAGGGAGACAGAGCTCGCAGTGCTAATCCTACACCCGACATGGAAGAGACCCCATTCCAGAAAGAGATGAAAACCAGGCTGGAATTCTTACCCCAGTCAGTATCTCTGGAAATGCTGACGGTACTGATGGCAGATGTGCAGGAGTATGTGATGGCACACAGACCGCAGGATTTACCCTCCAGAGCAGAATCTACTGTTGCTTCAATCACCAGGCAGGTAAAGCCAAGATACTGACTGATCCATGCATTCTTCTGGCCAGTTATATCTAAAGATGTCAGACAATACTGCCAGACGTGTGACATTTGTCAGAGAGTAGGCAAAAGGGGTGACCTACACAAGGCCAAATTATGTCCACTACCCATTATAGAGGAGCCGTTTAGTAGAGTGGCCGTAGACATAATAGGACCCTTACCCAAACCCAGTCCATCTGGCAAGAAGTACATCTTAACCGTGGTGGATTACGCCACCCGGTACCCAGAGGCAGTGGCCCTCTCTAATATTCACACAGAGACAGTGGCAGAAGCCTTAATGAAACTCTTTTCCCGGGTGGGGTTCCCCCAGGAGATAATCTCCGATAGGGGTATGCAGTTCACAGCCGAAGAGACCCACCAACTCTGGAAAATATGTGGCATTAAGCCTATTGTGAATTCTGCATACCACCCTCAGTCTAATGGGTTATGTGAAAGGTTCAATGGAACTTTAAATCGGATGCTCCGTACATTTGGAGAAGCCCATAAGGACTGGGAGAGATTTTTACCCCATCTGCTGTTCGCTTACCGAGAGGTACCTCAAGAGTCCACCGAGTTCTCCCCCTTTGAATTGCTGTTTAGGAGGAGGGTGAGAGGACCCCTAAATTTAATTAGAGAGCATTGGGAAGGGGAAAGCAGTGCAGATGGGATACCCATTGTACCGTATATGCTGGAATTCAGGGGCCGCTTGGAGGCACTAACCCAGACCATACGGATCAACCTCCAAGCGGCCCAACAACGCCAGCGCCGATGGTATGACAGGGGAGCCAGGGACCGCAGCTTTCAGGTGGGACAGAAAGTTTTGATTTTAAAACCTGTCCGCAATGACAAGCTGCAGGCCACCTGGCAGGGTCCATACCAAGTGGTGGAACAGAGATGTGACAACACTTATGTGATTGGCCCATGCTCAGGGGTAGGGAAGAGACGCATGCTCCACTTGAATATGCTCAAACCTTACCATGAGAGGGTAGAGGACGTGGCAGCTATATGCGCGTCAGCCTCTGAGGATCAGGAGAATCTTCCGCTACCCGATTTATTAGAGTGAGAAGATCAGGCAGAGAACTCCACGGGTGTTCGGCTGGGGGAGCGGCTAAGTCCTCAGGAGCGTGCCCAGGTACAGGAGTTAATTGCGGCTAAGGGAGCCACCTTCTCCAATTTACCAGGGTACACTCCGCTGGCCACTCACCGGGTAGAGACCCCAGGATAGCTACCAATGCGCCAGACCCCATATCGTATCCCAGAAGCAGTCAGGGAACATATGCGGAAAGAAATTGAAGAGATGTTGCAGCCAGGGGTTATCGAACATTCCGATAGCCCCTGGGCATCGCCGATAGTGTTAGTACCCAAGAAGGATGGCACAACACGGTTCTGTGTTGACTACTGGAGGCTAAATGACAAAACAGTGTCTGATGCCTACCCGATGCCCCGGATAGATGAGCTGCTAGATAAGATGGCACGAGGCCAGTACCTCACTTCGATTGAATTGTGCAAGGGGTACTGGCAGATTCCTTTAGCCAAGGATGCCATCCCCAAGTCGGCGTTTGTCACCCCGTTTGGCCTGTACCAGTTTCAAGTCATGCCATTCGGGATGAAAAACGCTCCGGCTACTTTTCAAACGATGGTAGATCGGCTACTGGATGGGTTCCAGGAGTATGCATGTGCATACCTGGATGATATCGCCATCTATAGCCAGACGTGGACAGACTATCTGCGACATATTGGAGCTGTCACTGACTGTATTGGAGAGGCAGGGTTGACGCTAAAACCCAGCAAGTGTCACATAGGGATGGCAGAGGTACAGTACCTTGGTCACAGGGTAGGGAGTGGGCAGCAAAAACCGAAAGCCGCCAAAATAGAGGCTCTAGCTAAGTGGCCTACCCACCGGACAAAAACCCAAGTGTTAGCCTTCCTGGATACCGCAGGGTACTACCGGAAGTTTGTATCAAATTACAGTGCCCTAGCCAAACCCCTTACCGACTTGACATGCAAAAATCTTCCTCGACAGGTCATCTGGGCCTCAGAGTGTGATCAGGCATTTCAACAACTCAAGACTGCTTTGACCAATGCACCTGTACTTGCTGCTCCTGATCCAACTAAACGATTTCTTGTCCACACAGACGCAATCAATGTTTGGATTGGGAGCAGTGCTGAGCCAAGTTGGAGCAGATGGCGGAGAACATCCTGTATCTTACTTAAGCAGAAAGTTATTACCACGAGAAGTTTGCTACGCCGCCATTGAGAAAGAATGCCTGGCTGTGGTTTGGGCCCTCAAAAAATTGCAGCCTTATCCCATTGGTGTAGCTGAACCGTGTGGCTGGGGACAATGCCAGGCTGCTGCGCTGGAGCTTGGCGCTGCAGCCATTCGACTTTACCATTCATTATCGCCCCGGAAAGCAAAACGGTAACGCAGACGGGTTATCCAGACAAACTGAACTTGAAAAATGATCTGTGAGTACTCCTCCGGACATCCCCAAGCCGATCCGTTGGGATCAGACTGTGTAAGCCGGCTTGGTTCTGGGGGAGCATTGTGGCAAAACCTAGCCACCTAAGACTATTTTTTTTATATCTAAGGGTTGCCCTGGAGAGACTGTTTTATATATGGTGTGTGACGCTTAAAATGTGATAGAGGGAATCCGTATGCTAGTGGCACGAAAGCCGCTAGCATTCATATAGTAGTTTCACGAACAGTGACTTTCAACACTGTTCGTCAAACGAACAAAGTACCGAATGGGAGCCCACACACAGGGGGTCATGTGGCTCCCATTAACCGATTGCAACATTGTATCGATCGGCTGCTAATTGATTCCCAGGGTGGCCGTCGTTCGGATACCAACCACGCGGCGGCCATCTTGGAATCACTATTAGCCCAGCGGTGTTTGGTCGTCGAGCGCCTGGAACTAAAATCGGCTACTCAACGGCACAAACACCGCTGGACTTCCAGGCCGTTCGGGAGCGCCGGTCTTTCGGGACTTTTTCCCCACTTATGCATTTGTGACTTTTATGAAGAGTTGATGTTACTACGTATTTCGTGCGGCGTTCGGTTAATTGTGCTGGGATCTGAGCGGTACTTTCACAAAGTATGCGCTCAGACCCCAGCTATATGCCGATCGGTCATTCGGTACATTGGCACGAATATTATACCAGTTACAGATTTTTATGTGAAAAGCCGGTTCTGCTGTACAGAGGGATAATCCACTTAACAGGATATTCTTGTGGGAGTATCCCTCTCGTACAGCAGTGCATGGTGGGAGAAATGTCCTGTATGTTCAGTTCCCCATGTAGTCCCCTACTATATAACCCCTGTAAAGTAATTAAGGAAACCCCTTGCATGGGGAATCGCATAAATACTGGAGCTTGTGAATAAAAACCCCAGTTGACTCCCAGAACTGTGTTTCGTCCGGTTACTGGGGGATTTGGGATATTGCCTTCTTTCAGCGCTTTCGTTGGATTATTTTCGTCTACCAGCGGAGATATTGGGATTTAATATCGCAGCTCCGCTACATGGTTATCACTCAATCAAAGTGGAAAACATCAGGTCTTGCTCTTTAACAGCACATTGTAGAACCTCTGTTTCAAACAACCATTGTTGTGGAAATGTAGTTGATATATCCTATGAGTGGTTGAAACAATCCTGATCAGTTGTAATCACCCTTGTTTCAGTTTATGGATAATTAAACTGGATTCTGCATTATACATTAGAACTTGGCATTCTAATCAATTGTTTAAGTGTAAAACTGAATGTTTTTAGCTTTTACTCATTTTTTAAGTATGCCTTTGGGTAAAGACGTTATTATATAAAGGTAGCTTATTTTAGCAACTTTGAAAAAGACCTAAGAGACTTCTTCCAGGCCTGAATCTTAGATCCTGAACTTTGGACAGGCACTATAGCTACGGCAATTAGAACACTATTCACCAAAAATCCAATTTCTAAACAATGCTAACATATATTTATTTATTCAAATTTAAGTATTTTCTCTATAAACATTCATGTCCTCCACTCACTGGTTTTGGGGGTGAGGTAGACACTCAGCGCAGTGATTGCATCATTGGAGGGATCGTGATACAATTCAGTCACAAGAAGATCATTGTCTTTCATTCGTAATGGGAATTTCTGCATATCTATAAAGACATAAATTATACACACAAGTATTTTTTTTTTTTTTTAAATAAAATGTATTAAAACAAACACCCCACAAATGATTTATATGATGAAATTTAAAGACAAGAAAACATTGTCATTTAGCAAACCAAAAAAAGGATATAAAATCATATTTGAAAAAAATAAAATAAAATTTAAACTAAAGTTTAACTTAGCTCACCTATATAATAAATTGATCCATTGTTACATCCCAAAAGAAGGAAGGACCCGGCAGTGTCACAACTTGTTATAGGAACAACATCCTGAACCTAAGAGGAATGAGAACTCATCACTAAACTGTCATGGTATAAATATTTTATTTTACTTTTTATAGTTAAAGTAACAACACAGGGGTACAAAGATGTGGTCATACAATGAAACACGAGACATTACTTAATATACCTACTGACCTATGCATCCTATGATTTGGTTAGCGCCTCAGAGAGGACAAAGTCCCCTTTAGAAAGGGACATTATGTAGGTAAAATTACCAGTAAGATTAATGTTACCTACAAAGTGGAGCTGAATGTTATGCTCCCAAGAACACCCAAAATTTTGTGGCTTACTCCCAAAATGCTATGTACAGTATTTTCATATATGCATTTGCTGGTAACTTGGATCGTTACGGAACATACATCCTCTACAAAGATTTTTTTTTCCCCCTACAAACAAGGAAGCTGAGTAACAGTCTGTGTCGGGATTATTTTACTGAACATCCTTACAAACAGACACAGTTAAAATGAAATACAAAAGTAAGAAATAAACTTTAAATTTCACATTGCAAATTTTAAATTATAAGTGCACTTTAAAGGGCCAATACAGGCACCAACTCAACGCAATTAAGCCATTTTAGCATATACAGGGAGTGCAGAATTATTAGGCAAGTTGTATTTTTGAGGATTAATTTTATTATTGAACAACAACCATGTTCTCAATGAACCCAAAAAACTCATTAATATCAAAGCTGAATATTTTTGGAAGTAGTTTTTAGTTTGTTTTTAGTTTTAGCTATGTTAGGGGGATATCTGTGTGTGCAGGTGACTATTACTGTGCATAATTATTAGGCAACTTAACAAAAAACAAATATATACCCATTTCAATTATTTATTATTACCAGTGAAACCAATATAACATCTCAACATTCACAAATATACATTTCTGACATTCAAAAACAAAACAAAAACAAATCAGTGACCAATATAGCCACCTTTCTTTGCAAGGACACTCAAAAGCCTGCCATCCATGGATTCTGTCAGTGTTTTGATCTGTTCACCATCAACATTGCGTGCAGCAGCAACCACAGCCTCCCAGACACTGTTCAGAGAGGTGTACTGTTTTCCCTCCTTGTAAATCTCACATTTGATGATGGACCACAGGTTCTCAATGGGGTTCAGATCAGGTGAACAAGGAGGCCATGTCATTAGATTTTCTTCTTTTATACCCTTTCTTGCCAGCCACGCTGTGGAGTACTTGGACGCGTGTGATGGAGCATTGTCCTGCATGAAAATCATGTTTTCTTGAAGGATGCAGACTTCTTCCTGTACCACTGCTTGAAGAAGGTGTCTTCCAGGAACTGGCAGTAGGACTGGGAGTTGAGCTTGACTCCATCCTCAACCCGAAAAGGCCCACAAGCTCATCTTTGATGATACCAGCCCAAACCAGTACTCCACCTCCACCTTGCTGGCGTCTGAGTCGGACTGGAGCTCTCTGCCCTTTACCAATCCAGCCACGGGCCCATCCATCTGGCCCATCAAGACTCACTCTCATTTCATCAGTCCATAAAACCTTAGAAAAATCAGTCTTGAGATATTTCTTGGCCCAGTCTTGACGTTTCAGCTTGTGTGTCTTGTTCAGTGGTGGTCGTCTTTCAGCCTTTCTTACCTTGGCCATGTCTCTGAGTATTGCACACCTTGTGCTTTGGGCACTCCAGTGATGTTGCAGCTCTGAAATATGGCCAAACTGGTGGCAAGTGGCATCGTGGCAGCTGCACGCTTGACTTTTCTCAGTTCATGGGCAGTTATTTTGCGCCTTGGTTTTTCCACACGCTTCTTGCGACCCTGTTGACTATTTTGAATGAAACGCTTGATTGTTCGATGATCACGCTTCAGAAGCTTTGCAATTTTAAGAGTGCTGCATCCCTCTGCAAGATATCTCACTATTTTTGACTTTTCTGAGCCTGTCAAGTCCTTCTTTTGACCCATTTTGCCAAAGGAAAGGAAGTTGCCTAATAATTATGCACACCTGATATAGGGTGTTGATGTCATTAGACCACACCCCTTCTCATTACAGAGATGCGCATCACCTAATATGCTTAATTGGTAGTAGGCTTTCGAGCCTATACAGCTTGGAGTAAGACAACATGCATAAAGAGGATGATGTGGTCAAAATACTCATTTGCCTAATAATTCTGCACTCCCTGTAGATCATGCCCCTGCAGTCTCACTGCTCAATTCTCCAATGTAAAAAATCATTTAAAGAATAGGAGAAATTTTAAAAGTTTCTACTTCTTCTCTTCATTTGCAATGTTTGACCTGACTTGCCTTATCTCAATTAGATCATGGTGTCATTTGATAATTCCTTATTGCAAAAATGGTGAAAGGAGCTGCACTTAATCAAAGCAGCCACCCGGTGCTCCGGAGCAGGACCAGCAATCTCACAATTTATTGTGCTGCTTTGTTAATTCTTCAACATGAATTTAAAAGAAAAATGGAACATCTAACAAAAAAAAGTTAATATAAGTTATAGGTGATTGTCAGTATTCTATTCAATAGTGTAAATCCCAGTGTTCTTACTCTGCTTCACTTACCTGCCAATGTTGGGTAACTGCATTCCACACTCCAACTTTCCCTGTGTGACTTGTGGCTACCAACTGGTTACCAATAAAGAAAAGTGCATCCACTGGCACTCCAAGACTGAACACACCTACGACATCATACAACAGGTGCACATTACAAATAAATAAATATTATTTTCATATTCTACATTTCATGCAAGACCTGATCATCAAACAATATGCCATGCAGTGGGCAACTTAGGTCTGAAAGAAGTACAAGAAGTGCTTTTACTTTATTAATGAAAAAAGGACAGTCTAAGCATGAATAAAACTACATCTCAATCTAGTGGTGCACAATGGTGCTGTCCCTCTTGTTTCATATAATCATTTTACTTAGAACACACCTCTAGTGATTATCGAACAGCTACTAAAGGCATTTTCTCATTAAGACCGTAGATTTATTTTTTTAATATTTCAAGTTTATTGTCATCACTCATAGCATGATGATCCTGAAGGTCACCAATGCTTCTTGAGGACCAACGGATTGGTAGAGTTCGACAATTAAAGGAAAGACTTGGCTTTCAAGCAGACAGGTCCTATTACTTCTTGGTTTGGTTAGCTCAAAGGAACAAAACTCAAGAATCAGCAACTGCACACAGTACCTATCTTACAAAGATTTTTCATTGAGCTGCATTGGCAAGTCTGTGATTGGATAGTCACAGAATTCTGCAGGGAAGGGCTTGCAAAGACTGCAGACAAGAGACATGCAGGTTTAGATATGTCCCAAGTGAAAAAATGCATAATTAAATTATTGCAAATTTTAATTTGGGGCACATCTACTAAACATTGATTTCTATTTATGTTGTATTTTGGCAGTACAGTGTCCCTTTAAAGAGCATCTGTCCTATGTCCCTAATGCTTCTCTAGGACAAAAATCATTAGACTTTATCAGATGAGGAGCAGATGGAATAGAGGGACTGCCCCAGAGATTTAATACTTGAAGTGTTAAGGCTTTTTATAAACATTATTTTATAATGTGACCTTCACCTGAGTGAAAATGTTAAATTATGGCATATTAAAAAAAAAAGTGCATATGTTGTATTAACTGCTCTGTAGTTTCTTATACACATAATTTCATGTAAAATAAAAAAATGTATGGGTATTTTGGGTCCATCTCACATGTTTAGCGTGACAATTAATGACAAGTATCACAAAGGGATCAGATGCAGGGTGAGAAATTATTTTTCTCAGCACATCAAGAGGGAATATCAATGCATTTATACTACAGCACTAGAATATTTTTCAAAGGTTCTGCACAAGTGTCAATATAAGTAGGCATTTTAGTCAGCTGTAGAACAAACTGTACGAACATTTAAGAAAGCTAGCATATTTTGTAATCGTATTAATTTCAAATGATGATAAACATTCTAATTACACAATGTTTCCACAAAGGATTTTTTACTATTAATGCTCATACTGCTGATAAATGCTGATATTAGGCAGCTTTGCTAAATTGATAGCGGGAACACAAATGGAGGAAAAACTAAAAATTTAACCAAAATTTGAGGAGGTAGCGTATTTGAGAGACTCAAAAGCACCATAATCAATACAGCTTATTGTAATTATCTTATATGCAAATAATATTTGGGTGAAGGCCTTCATTTAGTTTTGTTTTCTGCAATCCATTCAAGTAAACACATTTTAAATCTTTCCCTCATCCACTCCTGCATTATCAATACAAATTTGAACAGCAATGAGAGGATGCATGAACTTTTACAGAATTTCACATGATGCTAACTGGATATTTCTGCAATAGTTTTAAACTTTGCAAAGATCAGACAGCAGGTATATGGCATTTACATTAAACATACATTTAAAAAGGAAAATGGAGGTGAGGGGGGCAAAGCTTTATATTTTGATAATTAATCTATAGTTGGTCACATTGTGTATCTGAATTTTTTTTTTAAATGATCAAAACTATTTAATTGGTAATAATACAAAAAATATGCATTAAGAAACTACATGGCAATGACATGTACACAATAATAAAAACAGAAAAACAAGTAGAATTGATTACTCCAGAGAAGAATGAAGTTCAGGGAAATCAAAGACGACAGCTTGAATGGTCTGAAAGAATTTAAAGTGTCACTCCTGCTTAGGCTCAACAATCTTGACTGTTATCCACAGGGAGGAAGATGGTATAAGTAATGACATATTCCTGTCTTAAGGGGCCCTCTCAGTAAAATACTGCTTATAGCAGCAATCTGGTAGTGGTGTCTTCAGTAAGTAATATTGAAGGCACAGCAGCCTAGGGGACAGTTCTATCACAGAGATGCCAGCCTTTGTAATTTTCTTTAGATGGTGTTACTGAGGTCTGAAGTGTTTGTAACAACAAATTGTTTCTTTTACAGGGTATGAACAAAGAGCATCTTTGTAATCCCCACATGTAATCCCAAACTATCATTTCCAACAACAGCAATCAAAAGAGAGTAAAAGAGCACTTCATTATTAAATAAAATGGAAACCTAATTGCAGTGGATTCTGGCAATTTCCTTACACCTCAACCCTAGTGTCCCGAAATCAGATTGCCCTGCATGACATGCTGAGATTTTTTTATACAAACCACCAGCATTGAGATAGAAACTAGTATATTGGCTTCATCGTGTGAATGCTCTCACAATGCCTAGAGTGGGGCTGCCCACATTACAGATAACATCAGCTGCAAGCGAGTATAACACTGCATCAATAGATTACTGTGGGCAACTTCACTAACTTACAGGCAGTTTGTTTATTTTTTTTTAAATTACCCGACGGTTGTTTTGTCATTAACATGCGGGTGCCAAATCCAGTTGGAACTGTGTAAAAATTAATTTTATGGCAAGACAGGAGGCTTCATATTTGCTTTAACCTTCTTTACTGAACCTCCCAGCAGCAAAGAAATAGTTAAACATATAGAGAAAAAATCAACCAATCAGGACACATATTAGAACATAACAGTCTGTCAGGCTCCTCCCACTTCCTCTTTCTTTGCTGCTTGCCTCCCAGGTGAGCCTTATTTTGTTTTTCCATAGATTTTTTTGACTCCTTTAATTAACTTTCCCTGTCAGTTTTACTCACATAAGGTAATGTGTGTGTTTATTTTATCTCTGCCCTTTATCACAACGACCCTTCTCAGGTCAGCCCACTGTCCAGTTCCTTCCCTGTGACTTTATTTATCTCTGACTAAAGTAATACCTTACTAATCTTTTTCCTTGGTGAAATTATCTTCAGACCGTGCCACTGCAGTGGCTGCGGTCCGTTTTGATCACGCCTGCGATCTATTTCTGTACCGTCGTTTTTTTTTCGCGTCCTTGATTGACATGCAGTTTTCCCGCCTTCCTCCTTCTTGCCGGTGGCCATCTTCTGTTCGGCGGTTACATTTCCTGTCCGCGTGCTTTTCAGGAACTGCTCTCTGCTACTGGATTGCAGCTCTGTTAAACTGTGAGTATTCATTGCCCCCTGCTTGTTGTTGACTCCCTCTTGCCTCTTTTATTGAGGGTGACCCCCTCGTGCCTCTTTATTGAGGGTGACCCCCTTGTGCCTTATCTCTCAGGGTGAACCCCTTATATATATTTTTTATTGATTGCACAGGTTACCCCTGTCATTATTATATTGACAGTTTAACTGCCATAATTGTGGATGAACCCCACTGAGTCCCCTTAACCCCTTAAGGACACATGACATGTGTGACATGTCATGATTCCCTTTTATTCCAGAAGTTTGGTCCTTAAGGGGTTAAAGTGACTGCATATTGTCTGGGTGAACCCCAATTAGACAGCCCCTGCTTTTACTTTGTTTGTGACAAGTTTGTTAATATATATATAATAATAAAAAAAATAAAAATAATAATAAATAAATACAAAAAAAATAAAAAAATAAAAGTTGTTTAATATACCTGTTGGTATATTGATTCTGTGGTGAACCCACTACTATTTTACTGGTCATCATGTCGGACCAACCAGAACCTGCACTGTCAGCAGAGGTAAAAGCCTGGCTTCAAGCTGCAATTGCAGACTCTATCTCCAAAGCCTTGGCAACGTTTCGTGACCAGACAGCCACTACTGCCACCATCACGCAATTGTCAGACTCGGATTATTCCAGGGTCTCTGACCATGACGAAGCCCCACGTAAGCGCCCTTGGAAGGGTAACAGTGCTTCTGCTGGCAAAGGCAAAGCCCCAAAGACAGCTAAATTGTCTAATGCCAAACCCACTTTGACTTCAGAATCTAACCCCTTAAAGGGTTCAACCTCTGGCTATCACCTTCGAGTGACAGACGAATACAATGTATATCCAAATGAGGATCTCCCACGTAACCCTTCCTCTTCTGAATTTGTTACTGAGACTTTTCTCCTACCCCAAAACCAGTCCTTTCAGGACACTGATCCTATGTCCACTACTAATTTAGACAATACTAAGGACGATATTCTACTGGATACCAATGGTTGTCCTCTATTTGACCCACACTGCATCAGACACCCTCGTTCAGCAGAATGGACACCCCCTGATCACATTGCCAAATATTGCAGATTATGGCTTCGTAAACCTTTAGAAAAGGAAACTAGAGCCAAATTAAAAGCAAAATGTCCACGGTCTATAATCCCTGATAAGGTGGCTGTCACCCCTGAACTTGACCCACTCCTGGTCACTTTTCTAACTAAGACGGGTAAAGATCCCCGCAAAGGAATCGAAGTTGGCTTAAAAGCCACCCAAGACAAGCTGATGGATATAGCAGGCCAGCTTATCCAGATTTTTATAACCGCTGATTATAGATGCTAGCAGGTGGCAATTTTGACGCACACATGGTGCGTGAATGGGCACAACGAGCGTTATGCCTGTTGGGCAACGCCAACGTAGCTATTTCCGTTGAACGCCGTAAAGCTGTATTATATAAAATTGACGCCAAATTGGCAGAATTAGGCACCAAAGAACTTGGTCCAGAGGCTAACGGACTGTTATTTGGGGACAGGTTCATCCGGGACCTGAATAAACACGTATCCGTGTTTACCTCCCTCAACAAGGCACAATGGACCCTTCGCAGGGTGTTCAGACCCCAGCGTTTTTCCGGGAGAGCTGGTCGCTACAGGGGCCGAACGACTGGCAGAGCTGCCTTCACAGGCTACAGGCCTCAACCAGCAGACTCATGGAATTCGGGCAATACCCGTTTCTACCACAAGCAGTTCTTCCCCTCTAGACGTTCCATCAGAGGACGTGGATATGCTTCCCTCCGGGGCCGCACTGCTTCAGGTAATCGACTCAAGTTCCTATTGCAGGCCGGTTAACCCCTTTTTTCCAACAGTGGTCTCTATTAACTCAGGATCCACAGATCCTTCAAACTGTATCTGGTTTCCATATAGATTTTGCAAACGACCCTCTACAGGAGTCTCCCCCTCCACATGTCTCAAGAGGACAATGCGACCTTGGAGGCCGCAATAAACGACCTTGTCATCAAGGGCACTATAGAACGTTCTCTGTCCCCTCACAGATTCATAAGCAACATATTTCTGGTCCGAAAACAGTCAGGAGACTTTCGACCAGTTATCAACCTGAAAGACCTAAACAATTTTATTGTTTACCAACATTTCAAAATGGAGGGTATCCACCTCCTTCGAGACCTACTCTGCGAGGAAGACTGGTTCTCCCGTTTGGAATTGACAGGTGCTTACCTCACGGTTCCTATAACACCGGCCCATCGCTGTTTCCTACAGTTCAGATGGCATCAAGACTTATGGCAGTTCACATGCCTCCCCTTCGGACTCTGTTTCGCACCTTGGTGTTTCACCAAGCTGATGAAACCGGTCATGGCCTAGCTACCCTCTCAGGGGATTCGCTCCATCATATATCTGGACGATATCCTCCTTATTGCTCGGGACCCAGGTACTATACACCTCCATACAGACATGCTCTGTTAAAAAACTTGGAGTTCGTGATCAATGTCCAAAAATCCGTCCTCACCCCGTCTCAGATGGTTCAATTCCTTGGATTCCAAATAGATTCCGTTTTGGCTATCCTACAACTCCCTTCAGTAAAGATCAAGAACATCAAAAAACACATCAGAAAAATTCTAGCCTCTTCGACTATCTTCGCGACTTAGCTCGCATAATCGGACTACTCTCCGCCTCGATTCAGTCGATCTTCCCAGCTCCTTTACATCACCCAGCAATGCAACGTCTGAAGACTCGCTCTTTACGTCACTCTGCATCTTACGATCAACAGATCTCCTTGACAGGCGAAGTCCGACTCGAACTGAATTGGTGGCTACACCATATGGATGCATGGAACGGGAGAACGATCTTCGTATCACAGCCAGATTACATCCTAGAATCAGATGCCAGTCTTCTGGGCTGGGGTGCATCACGTGCAAATCTCTTTACCGGAGGTCCTTGGTCCCCATCAGAATGGGCATTGCACATCAATTGCCTCGAGTTGATTGCCGGTTCCTTTGCTATTCACAGTTTCGCAAAGGACTCTTACAATTGTTCCCTAGTGCTGAGAATGAAAATACGTGAATCGCTTAGGGGGATCCCGTTCCAAAATGCTCTCAGACCTCACAAAAGAATTATACCAATTTTGTCTAGACAGGAACATCTCCCTTCGAGCAGAGTATCTACCTGGTTCCGACAACTTAGTCGCAGATTGGTTCTCTCGACACTGGAGAGACTCCAGCGACTGGCAATTGGACCCACACATTTTTTACCGTCTCCATCTTCTTCGGGGTCCATTCAACCTTGACCTATTTGCATCTCGTCTGAATCGACAGACGGACGCTTTTTTCAGTTGGTTGCCGGATCTGACCTCTCTGGCACTAGACGCCTTCCTTCAATCTTGGCCAACGACCGGAGCTTATGCCTTCCCTCCGTTCTCCATGATCCTTTGCACTCTCCATCATCTCAGGACTCAGGGGACCACAATAACACTGCTGACCCCTTTGTGGCGTACCCAACCATGGTTCCCCAATCTCTTGGAGATGTCAGTGGATTATCCACTACTGCTACCTGCCACGCACGATCTTCTCAAAGATCCCGCAGGCAACTTTCACCCTCTCGCATTGCAGGGTCATCTCCAGCTAGTGGTCTGGACTGTTTTAGGGGATCCTGAAATGCCGCAGGACTTTCGGAGACTGCTAGAGAACTCTTATGGGACTCATGGGCCCCCAGGACTAGACGCTCTTACCTCTCAGCCTGGCGAGTTTGGCATCGCTGGTGTTTGGAAAGGGGTATTGATCCCGTTTCAGCTTCTTTGATTAACATTATGAACTTTCTGTCCTCTCTTTTTGAACAAGGTAAATCCTACAGATCCATTAATGTGTTTCGTTCAGCCATTTCGGCAGCTCATGGCCCCATTGATAATACAGCAATAGGTAAACACCCCTCCATCTGTAGACTGTTGCGTGGCATTTGTCTTGCTCAACCTCCTGTCCCAAAATATTAGCATTTTTGGGATGTTGCTCTTGTTTTGTCCTTCCTGGAGACTTGGCCACCCAACGAAGCACTCTCTCTACGACAACTGTCGGACAAATTAGCTCTTCTTCTCTGCTTAGTTTCTTTTAGAAGAGTGTCTGATATTCAGGCATTTGACTTTCACGCTATTTATTTCACGCCCCAAGGTGTACGTTTCAACATTTCTCGCCGCACTAAAACTAATTCCTTAACGATTACTTACTCTTATTTTTCTGACAGACCGTCGCTCTGCGTTGCTCGTTGTGTCCAACACTACGTCGACTCTACATCACCTCTATGTACCCCTACGGACCCCCTGTTTATCTCATATGTGCGACCACACAAGCCAGTGTCTTGTCCCACGATTGCCCGCTGGATTAAATGGCTTCTCGATTTAGCGGGCATATAGATTCCTCTTTTGGAGCTCATTCTGTTAGAGGTGCCGCTGCCTCTTCAGCCTTTATGGCTGGGGGATCCCTTGCAGACATCCTAAAATGCGCTGATTGGTCTAGAGAATCTACCTTCCGTACCTTTTATTTTCAACAATTGTCCCATGCTTTTTTCTCTTTGGTTTCAACACTTTAAAACAGCAAATATGAAGCCTCCTGTCTTGCCATCAAATTCGGGATTATGCTAGCTTTAGTGACTGAATAATCTAAATTTTATTAAAGACAGGAGGCGAATATTTTCCCACCTTTTTGGTATCCCACCCCAGATTATGTTTCAGGTCACATATACTCTTAATTTTTTCTAGGTTTCTTGTGAGACTTTATATTAATCTGGCAGTTTTTTCTGTTTGCTCTGGTTAGGTGCTTATTAATCTGCCTGGTTCTGACTGTTTTAGATTTTGCAATAGTTTATACTTGTAATATCCAGGGGGTAGATCTGTGTATGTAGATATCTTGCGGAAACCCATTCCAAGTGACCATACTTTCACGATCTTTCTCTGTCTTTTAGTGTGAAGTTTCTCTGCGTGAGCCACGAAGACTACGTTACATTGGTCTCTAGTATCGGCTGCGTTCTGGTTTACATGGTTGATGGATTACTCAAGTTTACTCGGTTGACTACACTTATGATCGGCTGCATCAGAAAGAGGATTTGGGAGGAGCCTGACAGACTGTTATGTTCTAATATGTGTCCCGATTGGTTGATTTTTTCTCTATATGTTTAACTATTTCTTTGCTGCTGGGAGGTTCAGTAAAGAAGGTTAAAGCAAATATTCGCCTCCTGTCTTTAATACAATTTAGATTATTCAGTCACTAAAGCTAGAATAATCCCGAATTATCAGCTAGTGAACAGAGATCACCATATGTGTGCAGTGTAATGTTGTTTATATAAATATAAGGCTACGGAAAGCCTTTGACTGAAATTTGTCAAGGGACATTCTGTTAAAGAAGGTACTTGTAACTCAATATAACTCTGTCATACCAGCACATACCATCGTTTATCAAATTGTAGAGACTTCAATTACAGCTACATTCCCAACAGTATTTGAGGTGACATTATTTCCTATTTAAAGTGATGGACTTTAGGCTGTCATGCTCACAAATTGCATTCACTTTTTCTATTTCTGAAATGATCAATACCTGGTCCAAGTAACATTCACTATTTCTGTTTAAAACAGTCGAATTTGAGTAGTGGGTTAAATAACTAGAAATGTATATGGTGCAGTAAATAGAGAATTAGCGAAATATGGGGTGTGGAGAAGTGTTCTACAATTAAAGGTTTACTCCAACCACCATGATGACCCCTTCAGTAATTGAAGTGGTCATAGTGGTAGGAGTCTAGATGTGCACTGTTTCTGCTTGAATCACAGCACGTTAAGAGATATATTACCTTTTGTGCTGAAGGTTAGTTACACCCCTCTGGCACACGTGAAATTAGCAGCCTAATGTGAATTCTATGCATACTTTCTGTCGGTCGTCAAATCTTACAGCACACTAGAAGATGTAATAATCTTCTCCATTGCATGTAGGACACCTATAAGGGAAGCTTGCTTTCCCCTCCCTCACTCCATGCTATTAAGTAAATACCCATCTAAAAAAATTTTTACAAGAAATTCCTCCCTCCCTCACCTCAGCTCTATGAGAAGTCAGTTATGGGACCCTGGCAGGGCTTCCATGATGTCAGTTGGAGATCTCTGCCGGGAGGTTCCCCTGGTGGTGGATTGCAGGTAATTTTTACAAACCATTTTTTTCCACAAAAAAACAAAACTTTAAGGGGTATGGTGGACTTACCTTGAAATCCCTAATAGGGCATCATTCGTTAAAGAAAACCTCAGGAATAAAACCGGTTGGAGTAACTCTTTAAGCAGCCTATTTTTAAACATTTTCCATGACTTTCCAAATTATAAATTGTTTTATAACTTTTTTTAAATGATGTAAGTACCAGTCATTTTACATTTCCATTATGCTCCCTGCTTTGGACACTTACTGCAGGGATAGAGCGAAGAACCTTCCCTGACTCAGTGGCTTTAAACTTTTAAAGGGACACTCCCGGCAGCTAAACAAGCCAAGCATACATTAAAGCTAATAAGCTCAAATACCTGTGGTTAGTTTATTTTCTTTCAATTGTGTGTAGGCTTTTTTCTGCAGTGCTGTAAAATGTTTTGCTGTTTTCAGCAGTGTAACCCAGCCTCCTTAGCCACCACCCTCTCAATTTTCAACAAGTTTCTGATACCCAGTCTCCGAAAGAAACAGACCTTTTTCAGCAAATTAAAATAGAGGCATGTCTTATCTAGTGTAAGGAATGCTCACAACACAGACTGCACTGCAGAGACAAGGCTAGAGCTAAGTACAGTGTGTGTCATATAGGTTTTGTTACTCCTTTGCCTTAACTTTGTTCTGATTCATTTCCTTCTTTCTTTGATATCCTCCCCCCCATGTTCCCAGCCATTCTATATGTGCCCCTCTTCCTCCCTCCCTGTAATGCAAGTAATACATTCCCTTCCAACCCTGTCAGCCAACCTATCTACCCACTGTTAATTCCTTCCCCTCCAGCCCCTGTTAATCAACCTCCCTACCCACTGTTAACCCCTTCACCACCAGTTCCAGTTATCCACCCATCCAACTGGTAACCTTTTCCCTGCCAGTACCTGTTATCCGCCCATTTAGCTGGTAACCCCATCCCTGCCAGTTCCTGCTATTCACCCATCTCGCTGGTATCCGTTTCCCTGCCAGTCACTGTTATCCATCCCTCTGGTAACCCCTGCCCTGCCAGTCCCTATTATTCACCCATCCCTCTGATAACCCCCTCAGTGCCACTCACTGTTATCCACCCATCCCGCCGATAACACCATCCCTGCCAGTCCCTGTTATCTGCCCATCCCTCTAGTAACCTCTTCCCTGCCAGTCCCAGTACAGTTAGCAGACAGGCGTCATGTATCCATCGTTCTTTGAACTTAGTAGTGCAGTATATGTACAATGTATATATTACAGAGCTCGACAAATCCAAGGTGGCAGGTCGCCATGGTGACCAGGAAATTTGTCCTGGCTCCTGGGATTTGTGATCCTGTTCAGCCCGAGGTGACTGGCTGAGAGCAGAGGCGGGCAGTTGACTAAGTGCAGCGGCAAGGGAGTTGTAATCTCCCTGCTTTGCTCCCTCACGCACCCTCCAGTGATGACAAGTGCCAGGTTATGATGTCACTCTGGCCCTGCATCACTAAACAGTGCACGAGAGGGAGCCGAGCAGGGAGATGACAGAAGCGCCACTGGACCCCAGGGTAACTGATCCACTCCAGCTCTCCCAAAGGTAGGCAGTTTGGGTGGATTTAAATGAAGATTAAAAAAGTAATTATTTGTGAGTGAGTGTGTGTGTCAGTCTGTCAGTGAGTGTGTGTCGGTCAGTGAGTGTTGTCTGTATATGTTTAGGTGACCAGACGCCTTCCAATCACATGGGAAAAGTGTTTTTACTCCCCCTTTTTTCCCATGTTGTGCTGGTGACGTTGTGGCTGGCCCCCACTCCACGGCTGAGATAATCAATCTTGCCGATCACAGCCAATTCAATGCTTCCCCATAGGAAAGCATTTGGGGACTAATGAACTAGCATGTCAAAATACCACTGTGACAATCAACTTCTCCTCGTAGAGATGCACTGAAGCAAAGCATCCCTATAGGGAACATTAACATAGGTGCTGCACAGTGTTAAGCAGTGATCCAAGAAGCACCTCTAGAGGACGTTTAAGTAACTGTCACTAGAGGTGTCACCAGGCAGCAATGTAAACACTGCCTTTTGTCTGAAAAGTCAGTGTTTACATTGAAAAGCGTTCAGGGACAGGATATAGACTTTAGAACAACTACATTAAGGCTGTAGTGATTCTGGTGACTATAGTGTCCCTTTAAGAATTGTATTTTTAGGGGTGAAAAACCTGGCTCCTGCCTTTTTTAGCTTGGGGAAATGTTTGTGTGTGTGTGCACGTGTGATGTGGTATGTAAATTCTAGTGTCTGATTCCAGTATTTGTAGTGTAACTTAGGTTGTATACTTCTTGGGCAGGCAATGTGGGCATGTGTTGAGTTATGCAAATTGCGTGTCATTACTGATTCTCATAGAGAATCACTGGAACATGGCCATTGGTGGACAATCTGGATGAAATACAGGAAGCAGGGAAAAAGCAATAGCGATCAGATGATAGCCGATAGCGATCAGATGATCTCAACCAATGAATGCGAGTTTCTGCACAGAAATCCATAAGTCTAGTTCTGGACTGGCTAAAGACGTCTCAATGATGCTGTCCAGCAAAGGGTTTAAATTCCATATACACAGTGTTTCATTGCAAAACGTTGCATACAGACTCCAAGTACCATGACCACTTCAAATAACCAAAGTACTTGGAGTAATACATTTCTGGTCCGTATCAATGCAAAGTTATACTGTACACATTATCACTCTACATGCACTGGTACATAAGCCTAGTAGACTCATAGTATTAAGAGAAAAAGCACACAAACAACACAGGGTAAATGAGTTCTAAGCAGCATTTCATGTTTGTATACAGTTGACTCTTCTTATATAGGTAATTGAATGTTTGTCCTCTGCAAATTATTCTAACCCTTTGGGAAGGATAGCAAGACAAAGACATTTTGTGAACTGTCTAATAGGAAAGAGTTTCACAAAAAGAACAAAACACACAAAAAAAGGAAATTAAAAAAAAAAAAACTACTGTGAGTAACCAAAACCCAAGCACAATTTAACCCTAGGTTTGTACAGTTAATAAAGTGCTGATATCAGAGCCACCTTAAAGGACCACTCTAGGCACCCAGACCACTTCAGCTTAATGAAGTGGTCTGGGTGCCAGGTCCCTCTAGGATTAACCCCTTTTTTTTTTATAAACATAGCAGTTTCAGAGAAACTGCTATGTTTATAAATGGGTTAATCCAGCCTCTAGTGGCTGTCTCATGCGCATTCAGCCGAAGAGGAGGACCGGAGGCGGAGAGGAGGAGGAGAGCTCCCCGCCAGGCGCTGGAAAAAAAGGTAAGATTTAACCCTTTCCTCTCCCCAGAGCCAGGCGGGAGGGGGACCCTGAGGGTGGGGGCACCCTCAGGGCACTATAGTGCCAGGAAAACGAGTCTGTTTTCCTGGCACAGTAGTGGTCCTTTAATTTAACCCTAGGTTTGTACAGTTTATAAAGTGCTAATATCAGTGCCACCTTAATTTAACCCTAGGTTTGTACAGTTTGTAAAGTGCTGATATCAGAGCCACCTTAATTTGTTAAACAAGGTAAAGAACACAATTCTACTGAATGCTTCTAATCTATTATAGAAGCTTACCGATTTCACTTCCGCTGCTCCCATCCTGAATGCTCCAAAGAATGATGCTGCTTTCTGATGCGACTGCTACCATTTTGTCCTTATCCCCATGTGGTCCTCCAACAACTTTAGCATTTAGGGCTACACGTTCAATAGTCCAGTTTAGGTAAGGACTTGAAAAAACCTGTTGCCAGCCAGAAGACTCCTTTATCCTGTAAATAGGTTAGAACTATCATGATACACCAGCCTATCAAATACACCAGCCTAGCAAAGCATATTAAAGTTACTTTTTAGGCACAATAACCACTTCACCTCATATACTGGTGCCTGGAAATGTTTTTGTTATATTATATATATTAATCCCTTCATCTTAAAATTTAAGGTGTTATTATTTGTCAAGTTTGAGAAAATGTTTGGACAGGATTTAAACAAGCAATGACAAAGTGCAAATATGCAAACTATATCAAGCTGTGACGAGACCAATCTCGCCACTGTGCATTGGAGGAGCCTGGTTGCCTGCCTGCTGCCTTTTGACTATGGACCGGCATTTAAATACTTTATTTTCCTATGCAGAAAGATCTTTTCATGTATTTCTGCCCTGGCGTTCGGTAGATTCTCGGATTTACTGAATGAACTCATTTAACCCAGATAGCTATGCCATGGAGCCTATTCGTGTAATAAAAGACTTTGGTTCCATGGCAATTGAACTGTATGTGTGTGGTCTGAGCGCCATTCAGTAATAATGTGCGTTCAGACCTAAGCTATCTGGGGATATATTGCATGTCTGTATTTTATGTAATAAATGTAACCTTGTGTATTTTATTGTATTTTACGGCCTTTTTACTGCCATGTGCTTAATGGAGTTTTGCCTCTGTCCTTGGAGATAATTGGATTACTTCCCAATTATCTCCAGAATAGAAGACTCTGTGGAAATGGTTTTCGGCAGAAAAGCCATGCTTCTTTTGGTCACAAAGGACTTCGATCTATCTTCTGAACCAATGGACCAATTTGGATGATTTTGACATATGTTTGTATTTGGAGTATGCTGATTCTGAAAATGTAAGTTTGATGTGAATGTGATGTATACTTTTAAAGTTATGAATAATGTGGAAAAAACTGTATTTCTCTGCCTGTGATAATTACATTAACCCATTGTGTAAGGTAATTGTATCACAGGCAGAGGGGAGGATTTTGTGTGGGAGTGTCTGAGTGTATTGTACGTGTTTATTGGTTGTTTTACAAAACCCTGTGGGTGGTACTAATGTGTAAGAATGTGTATATAAGAACAATAAACCCACAGCTCCGCTGGGGGGGGGGTTAGGGGGGGAGGGGGATTATTGTATGCTGTTCCAGTTCGACTGCTAGGAGTGTAAACCTATTTGTATGGCTCTTCCTATTTGGCTGTTTACAGCATTCGTATGTTTGAGAGCATTCGTATTCTTCTCCGGTTCGGTGGATTGGTGTCTACAGTAGCTGTGCCTGTGTCTCTGGAAGGGGAAGATCTACTAAACTGCGGTTTAACCCTTTTATGCCTGGGGGTGCCGTTACACAAACTATATCAGCAATTTCATTAAAAATATTACCATTTGCATTCTATACATGCATGTTCAATTAATTAGATCAATGATTGTCAAGTTTAATACTTGGCTGGCTTAATATCAACTGAATTGCAGGTGTGTAACCTGAACAGTAAGTACACTATAGCGTAAGGAATATATGCTTGTATATGGCGTTCCTCTATTGGTAAATTCCACATCCCACACCTGTCTTTATTTTAATATTTGATGCTCAGAAACTGGAAGTCTAGTCTGCCCAATTTTTAAAATACTTTCATTAGTCCCTGGCCTTATCTTATAGTTAGGATAGCCTTATGTCTATCTCACGCATGTTTAAACCCCTTTACTGTGTTAACCTCTACCACTTCAGCTGGAAGGTTATTCCATGCATCCATTACCCTCTCAGTAAAGTAATACTTCCTAATATTATTTTTAAAATTTGCCCTTCTAATTTAAGACTATGTCCTCTTGTTGTGATAGTTTTTCTTCTTTTAAATGTACTCTCCTCCTTTACTGTGTTGATTCCCTTTCTGTATTTAAATGTCATATCTCCCCTGTCTCGCCTTTCCTCCAAGCTATACATGTAGTTTTACTCTGCAATCCATGAACCAGTTTAGAATGCCTTTATGAGTTTTTTTTTATATTTCTTTCATTTTACATATTTATGTTATATTGTATATGTGTTAATAGATATGGGAGCAAAATTATTTTATAGTAACAATAGAGGTAAAATATTGCACAACAAACATTTGAACAAAATATACATAATGTATTAACACATAATACAAAGAAGTAAGAATAAAATTGATGAAAATAGATTTTCTGACAATACACTTAAGTGATGAATTTACTGCTGTGCCTATCTTGTAAATGTCATATCCTAAAAAACTAATACAAAAATGGGAACCTTTGATGTGGATTTTCGAATTGTTGTCCAATTTTTTAAATGTGGCAATCTTTAACATGGCTGCACAGTTTTTTTAAAAAGTTTTTGTTTTTTCATAAAAAAAAAAAATATTAAAAAAGATTGTAAATGAACGGATTATTCAGTTCCCATAGTAACTTCATGCTGTTCCAAAAGAGAAATTGATCATGCTGTGAAGGACAAGGTGCAATCTGGGAAAATAATCAGGGACCAATAACAAACACATGAACAAAATAAATTGTAAATGAATAATTCATACCTGTAGCAGACCACAAAATGAGCATATGCGGCTACAATCCAGTTGTGATGGCCTGCTACTATTAGCACTTTTCGAGGATCCACTGGGAGCCCTACAAAATACATGTTGAGAGAGAGAAAAAATACAAAGTCACAGCATTTGACAGCAATTCCACAACAAACCTAAAGAAAAATGACAGAACAGGACACTTTCCCAAAACAGTCAAATGATATTGTCTGCAGCTTCTTAATAATAGTCTGCCGTTTGCAATTTAAATCCCTCCCCTCAGCCCACAATAAAGTAAAATTATAGGTTGTTTGTGATGTTGCCATCTTGAATGTCCCCAATAGAAAAGAAATTGGATTTTCAAAATGAGAGAGGGCGGCCGGACTGCTTTGTGGGATGAATGCAACCTTGAAGCAGAAACAGAGTTTGTGTTCACTGTACTTCCATTTATCTCCAAGTCAGGTATGTTGCTGGCAAGTTCCATAATTGCATCACCATCAACAATCCATCAATGTATCTCAGATCCGAACTCATGAGACCATCCTCCAGTGAAATGCGGCTATTGAAGTTGACACGTTCACTAAATCATACGTCTCTTAAGTAGAAACTGCCAGCCATACTTAATAACTATAGTTTTGCTCAAACACAGCTATGTCTACAACTACATCGCTTTTAAACATTTGTTCTGTATTTATTTTCCAGGATAACGACTGTGAAAAGCTTTGTTCGGGGCTCAGATGGAATTTTACTCATGAAATGACTAAAATGTTAAGATGTCACTGAACAACAGAACTGCAATAGGGATCAAAATGGCTTCCCATTTATTGTCAATAGTGCGCACATTTTGTTAGAACGAATGGTTATTACAAGTATTAAGTGCAATGTGTGGGTTTTAAGCTGTACAAGGTAATGGAAAGCAGCCTCATGGAGTGAACAAGGAAATCTCCTGAAATTGAATACGAGATGGGGAAAATAACATAGATAGCAGCTGTGTTATGTATGCAAAATACTTCAGTGGCTGTTGTGCATATGTTCTGAAACAAGTCCATACAAAACACTCAGCAGGACAGCCTTCTGATGTCATCTGCAGTGCTCCTATCTTCTGTGACTATTAAATCCTAAATTTAGCTTTTAGGATCGGAACGTGAGAGCATAAAGAGGTGATAAAACGCAACTCAAAAAACCTTCTTTGTCAAAAAAAAAATAGATGAGATGCAATAAAAATCTAGTTTGTTTTTTAAAGGCCTACTATATACAAATATTTCTACTTATTTTAACTCTAGCAACTATCATAGCTTGTAGTGATTCTGCAAAACACTATATCATAGAGTGGTATGAGGTTAAATCTACCCAACTAGTGAAAATACACATCTAAAACAACACGCAAGCTGTTTAGTACATCTGAAGCGGGGACAATACTTCTCCTGCTGTTCAACATTGAGCTAGTTGTGTAGCTAATAATAACACAAGTTTTACTTTATTTTACTTTACTGTTACATACGAGGCTACAGTATTGGAATAACGTATTTACACAATATAAATACCGCTGTTCACTTTTAGATTTTTGCTGGAACAATATGCACAAGCAGCATTACTACACGCTGGCATTGTTATTCACTTACGTGCGAATTCAAAGTGAGTTTAAAATTCATGGACAAAATAGCCAAAGTCAAAAATAATGTGTAAGTCAGGTATGCTTCCAGTTTGGCTACTTTGGCCTAAAATGTGGGATATCTTGGCACAACCTAAATCTTGTAATCTATACATCTATGTAAAGTACATAAGGCTATCTCAATAATACTTTCCTCACTAGTATCTTGTGCATTAATGGAAAGGTTATTTTTTTCAGCACAATTTTTAGACACTCTGCAAAAGAATAAGAAAAAAGTGATCATACACTCAAAGTATCTAGCTGTGGTGTACATAAATCCTGGGCTTGCAGCCACCGTGCACGTACATCCTGGGCTTGCAGCCACCATATACAGACATTCCGAGCAAACAATAAACCAAAACATACATGCCAGAGGGTACATACATTGCAATAATTGTACAAACATCCTAGGTAAGAATGACTTCCATAAAGTATAGAACAAAGCCCTTACCAAGTCTAACTACTCCTTCTGCAGCTACAAGTGTTGGCTGTACAGCAGTTCCTTGGGCAGTTCCTTCACAGAGTGTTGGCCCTGCATTACCATCTGGCAAAGGGTCACACATCAATTTACGACTGGGAATAGCTGGAGATAGAGTGTAAATAAACTGTTTGAATGATAGGACTTTATAAAAATATATATTGTTGGAAATCTAACGGATCAGAAAAAAAAAAGTACAAAAAAACAGGACTGAAACTGGTGTGAAAGGTAGTCCCTGCAATGGCACACATGAACCTACACTTATTTGAGATGCAACTAATAGAATGCATTACATGATTTTATCTAGGGATTCTAAAACATACCACAATAAAAGAACAGCTAAATCAAAACTTTGATTTAGGTCCAGTTCAAATATTCCGTTTTTAAAATAAGTTTTGTTTAAATATAATTACTATACATAAAGCTGTTTTGCTGTCTCTTCTCCATACAAAAGAAGGCTCAATCCAAATTTCAGAATTTATTAATTTTATTAAAATGAAAAGGACATGCGGCTAGGACATACAGGGAGCAGCAAAAGGACCACACGGACACTTTTCTTGGATTCAATTTTGAATTCAAAATTAAAACATTTTTTTAATGGAAGCTGTGTCATGGCCAGGGAAGGTGTGGCTAGGGCTACATAAACAAAAACAAAAGTGATTTAAAGGGACTCTATAGGCACCAAAACATACTTTGCATAATGAAGTGGTTTTGGTGTATATTCACTCTCACTGCTATATTCTCTGTCATTTAGGAGTTAAATCACTTCATTTATATAGTTCTAGTCAAACCTCCCTGCATGTGACTTGCACAGCCTTCCTAAACATTTATTGCAGAGAGAGATCTAAGGTTTAAATTTCATTTATTATACATTCCATTTAATTTAGAATTCCTTATCTCCTTCTCTGCTAATAGCCTTCCAGACCCTGCAGGAGGCTCTTGTATGTGTGTGATTAAAGTTCAATTTACAGAGCAGGAGATAAAAACGTTTAAAGCAAGTTAACTTTTGATAAAAAATGAAACCTTTTTTTATGCAGGCTGTGTGAGTCACAGCCAAGGCAGGTGTGGCTAGGGCTGCATAAACAGAAACAAAAGTGAATTAACTACTAAATGGAAAAGAATTGAGCAGTGAGGCATGATCTATACACTCAAACCGCAACATTAAGCTAAAATGTTCTGACTACGAAATGGCATAGAACTGAGTAGTATGACTGTAGGGACATAATCCATACTCCACAGCTGCTGCATTAAGCTAAAGTTGAATTGGTGCTTAGATTGTCCCTTTAAATTGAACCACAGTTTGCTTGTTTTTTTTGTCTTTTTTATGGACAGTGTTCTTTCATTTCTTTCTTACAAAAATGTTACCTGGTGGGGGTAGGTATCCATGAAATAAGACGCTGCCACATGATGACCTCTCAAGCTCCTCACAAAGTAGCAATCTTCTTACTATAAAAATATACACAGGACTGTTAAATCAAAATATACCAGACAATTATCCCAAACAGTTCAACTTTTGTAAAAATATACTTGTGTCACAAACGTAGCTCTGTACACTTTAGAAATGTGTTGCTTACAGAAGAGGCTTCAAATTGGGGCAATTAAAGTGGGAATCAACAAATGTTTCCGTAAATTCCTTTTTATGGTAGGCTGCATGCACTGCTCATATTGCACATATACATACAATGAAGATATATTGTGAAAATCTATTTACTTCCCTATAAGTAGAAATGCATTTTATGTAGCAAAAATAGAACAGAAATTCACACTATGCATTATAGAAAAATGTTCTAGTTTCTAGTTTCCATTTTTTATTATCAGGACATTTACAAAGTTGGGCGTCAATGTACACATAAGTTACCCAAAGGAGTGATTCCATAAAATTCTGCTTCGTGACGTAGAACATTCAAACTGACGCCCCTAAAACGAAAGAATACAGAGTCATAAACATAATACCAGTGGTAGAGCAGCGTTATTTTACATAAATCAAAACAGGGGTATCAGCCCAAAATATTGTCAATACACAAAGCAAACTAAGTGTATGGGATCAGAGAAATAGCGTTAGGTACCACTGTCCAAAGACATGGAGCCCCAAACTCGGAAGTGGGTACCCACAGAAGGGACTGTAAGGCGCTCTGCCCAGTTGGGGTGTGTCATGTATGTATCAAGTAGTGTTGCATACCATAGTTAATTTAGACTACTGCTAGATTCTATTTAAGCTATGGCTTTCATTCTTGCTGCACTTTTAGGAGTGGGCCACAGTATTCCTTTGAACTATGTGTAGGCGGTATCCCAAGTATAAGAGGAAAAAGTATCAAGGCTTTTCCATGAGAATGGAAAGGGAGGGTCAGGTGAAGAGAAACTAAAGAAAGAAGAGGTGAGGTAAGAGAAATTTTTATGTTTCACTCTCTCAAGCGGAGGTATCTCATCTTTCAGCCAATACTGAGCGAGAGATCTGTGAGACGCCTACATGATTCTATTCATGAGTTTATGCTTGTGAAAGCTGAATCAATTTGAAGGTTTGGATAGAATGAATTTCCAAGGATTCAAGTGGACTGTTCTCTGGAGGATGCGGGATGTAAGAGATCTCATTCCTTCCCAGAATGATGCCACTACCAGACATGACCACCACATGTGATGATAAATGTTCCTGTGTCCACAACACCTCCATCGTCAAGACTCAGCCTTCCGCATATTAAATAATTTAACAGGTGTGGTGTACCAGCAGAACAGGGTTTTAAATAATTGTTCCTGCAACGTAACACAGATGGAGGATTTAGAGTTTGCCTCCCATACCCCTCCAGCCCACCCCCTCGCCCCCCAATGTCTAATTCAGGTCTTGTTCCCACAGTTCAGCGTATAAGAGTATGCCCTAATCGTTTTATTAAGTGTAGAGGTGTGTGTAGATCTTGGAGATCAACCCATTTTGGGGGGCTTCCTATGTGCATAGACTTTCGAATATCGTTAGGGAAATCTGGGTAGCTTGTTTCGTGTTGCTACGAGCAGCGAAGTCTCTTAATTGAATAGATCTGAAGTGATCTCTTAAGGACATTCTTACCCTTTGTTGTATGAAGTAGTTGTTTTACGATAAGTAACCACATTTGCAGTTAGGCATAATCCAGGTCCCTGAAGTCTTTAGGGTTAATGCCAGGAGAAAAGGCTTGTGTCTTAGGTACGGGGTCGGAGCGGAGGTCAAGGAGAACTTTGCTCCGAAGTGGGGTCCAAAATGCGAAGGGAGTTTAGGACTGCTGTACAATTGGTGTGTAGTACTGGTGTCTGTCCCCTTGGTACACTTATGTAAAATAGAGGGAGATCAGAAAGCTGCGAGTAGCGACTCCAGAACTACTTGCTTCCTTTGATCTGGAGGGGAATGCCACATGACTATTTGGGTCAACTGGGCAGATAGGTAAAAGATATATAGATGAGGTAGCCCCAGCCCACCTGCCTGTCTAGGCTGGTATAAAATCCAACAGGCAACCCTGTTCCTTTTGTTTTGACAGAACTGGCAAAAGCTGAAGTAGAAAGACCAATGTGAGGGGGGCGATAATCATTTTTACCACCTATTCAGGAGATATGGCTTGTCCACCCATATGTCTAGGTCTCTGAACAGGGCTCAGGAGAGTCATTATTTTCATATAGTGTGTTAGGCCCGGCTGTTATGTAAATTCCCAGGTTTTTAAATGACTCCATAGTAAACCAGATGGGATAGGTAGACTTAATGAGTGCCATGCTCGCATTGCCGAGGCATTTGTAAGGTTTAGTTTATAACCTGAGAGTGTGCCAAAAGTTTTGAGAGCAGAGTTCAAATACACGTTTGCACAATTTTCATTGTGCTGCCTGTCTGCGAGAGATTTTCATTTTTTTTTGTTTAATATATTTGATAGTATAAAATTTACTACACAATAGACTTACATTTTTTTTTTCCGCTTAACATTTTAATATCTTCAAGGTAACAATATGTGTTATATCCACTTTATAAATAGAGAGGTCAGGTTGGAAATGACATTGTATGCACTTCGAGTGGTTAATATGCGTATATAATGGCAACTCTGCCCTTTAGTAGGTGCCTAAAACACACTTTTTATGTATTGTAAAGCCTACGTAGTGTTTGTCTTACTGTGTAAATATTTTATATTAACTATCCCACCTTTTTTCTTTTTTTAGAACACTTGTCAGTCAATTCTTTTACAATTGACTATCTTAGGTCATCTGTTAAAATGAATGGTCCCCCCTTATCTGTTAAACGTAGACATCGCACTAATCCTTACTTTTATTTCACTGTCGAAACAGTCCAATCCTTCCCCACTAAGGATTGGATGACTTTTGTATCATCAAATGTTTTTCATGGACAAAAAAGGGGTTTATTAACACCTGCTAGGTAAGTTGATTAACCTCTAAAGTTCAATTTGAAAAAATAAAAAACAACAAAAAAACAAAAAAACAAAATCCCTTTTTGTCTACAGTTTTCTTTTTCTTATTTTCCTATTTTAAACCCTGCTTTCCAATTTGCCATATACCATTTTAAAATATGGAAAAACAACGGTCAAAGAATTTTAAATGAACATAATACAGAAAGAAGATTTTTTTTCCCCTTACCTTAAATCAAGCTCCTTTGTTCGGAGAAAGTTTAAAATTGGTGCAAAAGCAGTTGGATCTCGATCAATAAATATCTGTTAAAATAAATAAATAAAAATGACCACAAGAAGAATTACAGTAAAATAAATAGCAAGAACTTACTGGTAGAAGTGTTAATTCCAAAAACACACGTCCCATTTCCCCATCACCAATAAACTTCCACTTACGTTTTCTTGAATATGCATTTTATAGAGCCAATTAAACTTAATAGACCTCTTAACATATTCATGAAAAAACACTTAAAACCTTAAGTAAAATGCAATATATTTCCAAATCATTATTGCCCCGTAAAGATTTTTTTCTTTTTTTTATCATTACACTGCAGAATGGAAGCACTATGTCAGTTTTGTCGCAGGAAGTGAGTATGAGGCATAAATATGAATTTGAGATAGGCCATATCTACAATAGGATTACATTAAAGATGATCAAGAGCACGAATATTTAATTAGAAAATTAGACTCTGTTACTTAAACAAGGACTTGACAAATTTGCTTTGAATCTAGGAGGCAGCTAAAAAAAGTTAGGAGACTATTTTCTTTTTAACATCGCTTTATTTTCAACAACAAAAACACTATAGTCACCAGAACCACTACAGCTTAATTTAGTGATTGTGGTGTCTATACCCTCTCCCTGCAGGCTTTTATATTGCTGCCTAGTAATACCTCTAGTGGTAGTAACTCTCGCAACCACTAGAGATGCTTCCTAGTCAGTACTGCACAGTGTGCAGCGTCTCCACGCTCTGCACGGAGGCGCTGAACATTCTCCATAGTGATGCATTCATTTTAGTACATCTCTGTGGACTGGTGCAGCGTGGCGTTTTGCCATGCATGCACCAGAGCCTCCCAATGCTTTCCTATGAGAAAGCATTGGTTTGGCTGAGATCATCAAGACTGAGGATCTCGGCCATGGGCCGGGGCCACCCGTGGCAAGATAGGCACGACATGAAAAAAAAAAAAAAAGGTAAGTAAAAACACCTAAATAATTAGTTTAACATTATAGTGCAGGAATACAGGTTTGTAGTCCTGACACTTTTGTGTTCCTATAAATGTACACATAAAAAAGACTAGAACCAAACGTCATAGGCATTTAACTTATTATTAAGATAATAAATATATTCTGATGTGACACACCAGATGTTTTATGCAATGTATAAGTTTTTTCACTTGGCTTTTTGTGGCCATGAACTTGCCTTGTATTTTTAGAATGAAAGCATGAATTCTCGCACATATTTACTGACAGACACAAACATACACACAAATATTTTTTTAATTTAAGTCCACCCAGCCTCCTTGCCTTTGGGAGAGTTGGAGTGGATCTGATCCAGTCATCTTCAAGCTCTTCCTGCTCTGCTACCTTGCTCATTGTTTAGAGATGCCGGAATAGCATCATACCCCAGTATCACAGCAGGGCACGTGAGGGAGCAGAGCAAGAGGAGCAGGAAGATTACTGCTCCCCTGCCACCTGCCTCCACTGCTCACTGCCCCCCAACTAAGGAGGTGGCCAGTGTTGAAAATGCTGACAAACACCCACGTGCAACGACAAAAGTTCTAGTTGCCATTGCAAGAGATTAACATTGCATTGCTGCTGCCTGGGATTTGTTGAGCCCAGAGTGAACCTAAATTCTATTATTTCATAGCCCCCCAAAAAAACACAAAGAGAATAAATGTTGAAATTATATATTTTTTTTATTGAGTTGCATATAAAAAAGTAACATATCAAGATAAGTAATGTTAATTCTTTAATACCAATTAAAAGCAGGTTGATATTTCTCCATTGCTATGTAACATTGTATTTCACTGATGCATAAGATTTGCTAAACTATATTGTTTGTCGGTTTTATGTAATGGGAGATTCAATGGAGCTTATGTACCAAACATTACATTGGGTCTATAGCAGTGATGGCTAGCCTATGATGCCTGTGCACAGCATAGAGGTGCATGCACTCTTTCAGCATGTATCAGCAATCAAAGTCAGAAGCAATCACAAGCCAGTTTGTTTAAAGATACTATTGCTGATAGCAGAGAGAGGTTCATCTAATTACAGTGAAAGTTCTCCAATATGAATCAACTTATTTTGATAAATTATGCAAAATCATTATTAGTCAATCATTTTTATTTATATAGTGCCAATATTCAACAGCATTTTACAGTTTTGCATTTGGGATATAAAAAAAAACAGATACATTAGTTTCATCAGAAATATATAGAGTAAAAGGCAATACTGAAAAAAGCTTACAATCCAGAGGACAGGGAGTAAAATAAAATGGAAGCACAATAGGACAGAAGGCAAGTAATACCATGCATGATGGCTAGTAAAATGTATGGAAAATAAAATATGTGGAAAAGGAGGGCAGTGGAAAGATGAGAGAGGAAACCTGCTTCTATCAAGCATATCCCATTGTAAAACCCATAATAAAAAGAATATGCATTGTAAGGGTTCATAAAACGAACTCTGGTTTATATAGTTCTCTCATTTCTACCAAAGGATATACGTACAATGACAGTAATTTAGAACATTTTACCTTCAAGCAGAAATGTTTACAATTACCACTAGATGGTGCAGTAGACAATAAAACCAAGCAGTATGATGAAACAGATTATACAATAGACTCAGATAACCAATTATAAAGCCTTACTAAAAATCTGATGGGATACATTTTGATTAGTCAGCACTAGCATTCAAAAACCATCTGTTCTTTGGCTTCTGAAAGACTGAAATGTGTAATTCTAGAACGTACACAATCCTTCAATAATCTACAATAAAAAGTTCTATTTGTGAATATGCACAAGATTATTCCCAATTAAAAACATTAGAGAGCGAAAAAATTAGCCTGAAAGAGGAATTACTTTGAAAGTGATGGTGCATTACAATAAGCTGTGCTTTTATGCTTTGGTTTTTTTTTTTAGTAGGGAGCAGTCATATCTAGACACCCAATAAATGGGTAAAAGGTCCAATACTTGTCTGTATGTGGCCTGTGACTGCGTATGCAGGGAGTCCAGGAAGATGCATGACAGCACCTGAAAAAGGACATGTAGCATAATGACTGGAATGCACTGGAGGTGCAACTTAAATTTGCCTCTCACCTTGCAACATGTCAGTTTACCATGTGAGGGAAACAGAAACTACCACCACCGGAAACAGATTTTGATTTAAAATTTAGACTTTTGATTTATTTTCGCCTTTCAAAGCCATGTTTGTCCTGCACATTATATTAAAGCAGCAGTGTCATTTGTGAGATTTTCACAAAAAATTTTTTTCTGAAAAACCTGAAAGAAAGCTTTAGCATTACACTGACATATAAAGCAAAAAAAAAAATATAAGAAAAATTAAGGATTACTTTGTATTATGAACAAGATGATTTTTTTAACAAAACACGGCAAAAAAAATGCTGGAACTTTAACAGTTGTCACTGCTGTCTGACAGCTGATGAGCTGATGTGAAATGGCTTTATACTTTTTGTACATTAAATATCTATGGCACTGCCCCTCACTGCGCTGCAGCATTTACTTAGGATCCTGCACTTTTGCATACACCGCTATTTTTTTTACTTTTGCACATGTATGACAGTACACTAGAGACACAGTTCCTGTTAGATTAAACCTCTAGGTTCTAAAAACCAATAAAGAAGGTAGTGGAGAGAGGAGAAATGATCAGTTAAGATCCCTCTCTCTGTCACTATAACAAGTGACGGTTACAAAATATTAAAAAAAAATTGGCTTAAAGATGAGTCTGTGTACTTACAATGCCCACTGAATGGGACAGCAAGGTAGGAAAAGGAGGAGGAAGTAGGGACTTCTTCCTCTCTCAGTGTTACATTATTATTATTTTTTTGTTTCTTGGCAAGCCAGAAGCCATGTCACATATACATTTCTCTCATATATTTAAAAAAGTCAAGTTCTTCGTATCTTATGGAAGATCTGGTAAAAGTCTTTACAGATCATTTTTGTGTTTATGCCAAAAAAATGCCATGCAAGAGGATGCCATTTTTAATAGCCATCACTCCGAATGGCTGATGGGAAAAGTCGAAGCAGGAATGTTGGAAATAAACCAATATTAAGGTTTTGCCATCTCTAAAAGCGAAATAACACGGAAGATGTACTTACTAATCCTGGACGGTCAGGAGGCCTCCACCTTTAGGTTCCCAAATTGTAGTAAACAAATGAAAGAATCCTTAGTCCGAACTGTGCTGGTAATGGAGTATATTCAACTTATAATACTGACGAGGGCTCCACAAATACCTCCCAAAAGGTCAAAACATGGCCAGTTCAGTTTTGCAAGTGAATAAACTTTAATTCCAGTATAATTTGGAGTAAGGATTCTTTGATTTGTGTGTGTAGTTTTTTTTGGTTTTTTTACTATATCCAAAGGCATGAATAAAACCGCAATTCCAATGCAACCTAACGGTAGCTTGTAATAAAGAATCCTTCTATGGATAGAGTGATACTAAACAAAAGGAAATCCCTTCAAAGGAACACTATAGTGTCAGGAATACAAACATGTATTCCTGACACTAAAGTCCTAAAAAAGCTGTTTCGTGGCTGACCCCAATTAACAAGGTGATTTTACTCACCTTATTTCCAGCATAACACCGGTCTTGTCACAGCTGGCCCCGCCCCGCCCCGCCTCCTTGGCTGAGATCATCAAATTTGACGATCTCAACCAATTTACCATAGGAAAGCATTGGGAGGTTATTGTGCATGCGTGGCAAAATGCAGTGCTGTGCCAGTCAGCATTTTCCCATAGAGATGCATTGAATCAATGCATCTCTATGGGGAGCGTTCAGCATCTCCATGCAGAGGGTGGAAATCCTAAATGTCAGTGCTGAAAACTGCAGCACTGACCCAGGAAGCACCTCTGGTGGCTGTCTGAGTGACTGTCACAAGAGGTGTTCCTGGGCAGTATTGTAAACATTGCCTTTTCTCAGCGACATGCTGTAGACACCAGAACAACATTAGGCTGTGGTTCTGGTGACTATAGTTTACCTTTACATTCACTCATTATTAATGAGTTACTATAAGCACCATAAGCACTTTAGGGAAAACTATGTAGGTGAAACTTAGCCATTGAAAGGACCACCTCGCACAACAGAGAAGTCACTTATCCAATCATGCCAGAAATATTAACTCTAGGTATCATACAAGATATCAATACTGGTAAAAACAAAAACTTACAGCTCCAGTTTCATCCCGTAGTGTTGAAATTCTTCCACTTAGCAGACTGCAAAAATTTAAAATTTGAATTAGATAATATGCACACCAATTTTAATATTGTACGTTTACATTCAAAATCTTTAGTATCATAATACACATATATTAGATTTTCTAAGGATACTCTAACAGTAGTAATATTAAAGATGGAAAAATATCAATTATGTATTGAGGGCAAAATATCATCACTCTGTGTGTATATAATGCAGAGTGTGTGTGTGTGTATATAATGCAGAGTGTGTGTGTGTAGTGTAGTGTAGTGTGTGTGTGTGTGTGTGTGTGTGTGTGTGTGTAAACTGGGTGGGGGGAGGGCATTTTTATTATTTTAATATTTTTAAAATAATTTATTATTATAATTATTTGTTTCATTTTATTTTTTAGCCCACCCCCCCACCCCTGCTTGTTACCTGGCCAGTGAGGGGGGCTCTCTCATTCCCTGGTGGTCAAGTGGCATTGGCTGTGCAGTGGGGGCTGGGAGCAAGCTGTTACTTACCTTTTTTTAGCAGCTCCGATCACCTCCGTTCAGCTTCCCCGTTCAGCTCCCAGTGTAAGTCTCGCGGTCTGCGTGCCCCGGGTCTCGCGAGACTTACACTGTGAGCTGAACGGGGGAGTAAGGTAAGCAACAGCTTGCTCCGGCCCCCATTATAAGCCCGGCGGTCCTGGTCTGTTTTATGGCAATGTAAGTTGCCATAATACAGACAGTGACTCGAGTATAAGCCGAGGAGGGCTTTTTCAGCACAAAAAATGTGCCGAAAAACTCGGCTTCTACTCAAGTATATACGGTACATTGATATTTCTCTTATTTTCAAGTATGTCCTGGGGAGCACAGACTAATACAATAGTACACATACAATAGAAGAGATACAGTGCAACTATAAATACACTTTATATAGCAGATATATACAGTTACACAGTAACAATGAAGCAGTCAGTTTTTAAAGTGACTGTCACCTAAAACATACCTTTCTCCTATTGTTTCCTCTTCCTCTTTCCCAATCTGTTCTTATTTTCTGAACTATTTCAATTTAAAACATAACACAAAGAAGGGACTACTTTGTCTTATGTATTTTTCCAGCGCTTGACAAATTTGACAAAAGAGTGGAGTCTAACTAAGCACCACTTAGAGAGAATTGTCCCATGTGATCGGTGGGAAGCAGGGAAGCTAAACAGTTAAAGAGGCACTATGGGCTCCCAGACCACTTCAGCTCATTGAAGTGGTCTGGGTGCAGTGTCCCTATTGCACCTAGTGCTGCAATTTCCAGAGAAACTGCAGTGTTTACATTGCAGCACTAAGTCTGCCTCCAGTGGCTGTCTCCCAGATGGCCACTGGAGGCGCTTCTGGATAGTAATGGACTTATGGTCCAGTATCTGATGCTGGACGTCCTCACGCTCTGCATGACGAAATCCAGCCTCTGATTTTTTTCCCCATAGGAAAGCACTGATTCAATCCTTTCCTATGGGGAGGTTTACTCGTCGCGGGATGCCAGAGGAGGCGGAGTCACGAACCCAGCACCGAGTGACATCAGTTCTGGGATCAGGTAAGTAATTAAGGGTTTTTAAATCTTTTCTTCACCTGGGCGGGGGGCAGAAGGAGCTTTAGTGCCATGAATACAGCTTTGTTTTCTTGGCACTTATAGTATCCCTTTAAGCACTATAGTGTCAGGAATACACATTTGTGTTTCTCATACTACAGTCTTCCTTTATGCAGTAGCTATAGCGATGGTGGAGAATTTTTACAAACCAGTTATTTTTGCAATTATGTTTTAAATTCACTACCATTCAATATTTAGTGAATAAATATCTATGTTTTATCCACTTGTAAGTGGATTTTGGTAAACCGATACAGACACGTTGCTTAACACTAACTAAATACATCATCTGAATAAAAAATTTCCAACTCAATATTTTGGCCTACCCTTTCCAATTTATTTTAAATTGATTATAATTCACTGTTTAATAAAAAAAAATTTTTTAAAAATTGATAAATTATAAGAAGACTCATGTGTTTTTCACTGAAGTGTGAATTCAAAGTGAATTTTAAATTGTAGTCCCAAGTAGCGAAACTGAAGCATATTTAAAGGAGCACTATAGGGTCAAGAACACAAACATGTATTCCTGACCCTATAGGGTTAAAACCACAATCTAGCCACCCTGGTCCCCATTATGCCTCCCTAAAAATAGTAAAATCTTACTTGTATTCAAGACTGAAGCTGTAACTCTGCATGCCGTTTGCCTCAGAAAAACAAGCTGTCTGCTGACATCATCAGAAGTGGTGGCCTGATCCAATCATAATGCGTCCCCATGGGATTGGCTGAGACTGACAAATATGCATTTTTTTTCATTGGGAGTCTGTATAAAAACAGCTTGCAAAAGGGGCAGAGCCAGCACAATTCAAACACAGCAATGGCCAATCAGCATCTCCTCATAGAGATGAACTGAATCAATGAATCTCTATGAGAAAAGTTCAGTGTCTCCATGCAGAGGGAGGAGACACTGAATGTTTGGATGCATTTTAGGCAGCCATGACCCAGGAAGGATCTCTAACAGACATCTGAGGAGTGGCCAGTGAAGTTATCACTAGGCTGTAATGTAAACACTGCATTTTCTCTGAAAAGACAGTGTTTACAGCAAAAATCCTGAAGGTAAGTATTCTACTCACCAGAACAAATCCAATAAGCTGTAGTTGTTCTGGTGACTATAGTGTCCCTTTAATATGAAAATCCTGTTGAATTCTCACTATAGTGAGTGACTTTGTAACTTATTTTTTTAATAGCACCCCATCTCAACAATGTAAAAAATAGTCATGCAGTTTAACTAACCTGGAAAAGAAAGAGTCGGGAATCCACATTAGTGTTTGCCTTGATGTACTGAACCTGAAAAAACACAAAATAAAATTGTTGTTTAGACACAGACTGCAGCAGGATGCTTAATACTAACACAACAATTCTGGAGTATTTCTACACTTTCTTGGTTACACAAAGGTTGGAATTTTACAAAATTGGCATCACTTTTTAAATAAAGTAAATGTGTACTATAAAATAATTATTGCTTGGAGCAATAAATGTAAAAAAATAAACAACTTTCAAAACTTCTACTGAATTTGAACTCTTGACTCTACTTGTGTTCCTTTATATACACGACTAAATCATTCTAATGCAATACTATGTCCTGGACATTTGTAGATAAATGAGAAAAGTAGAGTTTATATTGGCTCAAGACAATACATTTTGCAATCCCTACACCACTAGCTCCGGTCACAAAGCCACTAGGGGCTTCACACTATAATAGATTTAACAATGAGTATATAAGCAATGAGATTTATGGTGTCCACACCTCAAAAGAGAGTAGCGTGCTAGTTAAACAATATATCATATACACTGGCCCTTATAGAGTCAGTATTCCATGAGACACAGAAGGAGACAAGAAATAAAAATAATAATATTGCTTTTAATTATATGTTTTATGGTTTATGTATCTGGATTTTTTCAAATCAATGTAAACTAAGATTATATAAATGTGTGTATAAAGGAAAAATTATTTCAATAAAGAGAAATTTAAAACAAAAAAAATGATATGTGATATAAGCTAAAAACATCAAACTCACATATGAGACTATTTGTTTTGCAGTGATTAATTTTGTTAATCCAAACAAGGAACATTCAGACTTTAGTTAAAAACTCTGAATTACTTAAAGGGACACCTCTGCTCAAAAAAAAAAAAAAAGAAGAGAAAATGAAATGAAAGTGAAAATGAAAACATGCATGCATTCAAATATGCATTTATTCATTGGGAGTCTATATAAAAATAGCTTGCAAAAGCTGCAGATATCTTGTCTGCAGCCTTTGCAAACCCTTCCCCTTTTTCCCCAACCCAGACTTTCTGTGCATGTCCTATCACAGGCTTCGCAATGCAGCTCAATGAGAAGTTTTTGAAAGTTAAGTACTCGGAGGTGGGAGGGAGAGAGGCTAAGGATGTAGTAAGTTGGAGAAATTCTGAGAGAGTGTATAGCTAGGATATGCAAAAGGCTGCAGGTGCAACTACCCTGGCCCACATCAATGGAATTAAATCAAACCACTGAAAGTGATTTGGTTGCAATTTGGCGGTTTGTGCAAACAGGGCTGAAATTTATATGCCTTTTGTGAATAGAATGAACCATTATGCATGCATAAGTATATGGGAGCATTTGCTTCAGCATGGTCCTAAAGGCTGGCTCTTTACCAGGCAGGCCCATTATGGGCATTACTATTGATGTGGTTCACCCTGTCCTCATTCCATGGGTCTCATGTTGGGAGGTGTGGCATATGGTATTGAGCCTTGTCCTGCATTGTTATGAATCATTATAGTTTCACTCTGATAGTAATGTTCAGATAGAGAGCAAAGTTCTGCAAGCAATTAAAGGAGAGCAAAATCAGACAGTGTATATTACACTTGTTTATCTTGAATGTGTATCCCAGACACTCCCTTTTATTGCAAATGCCAATAAAGAGACACTAAGCTTTTGAAGTTTGGAGTCTTTCCCTCTGTCCTTCTTTATTGTGTATATGTTTGGTGGGTGTCAGCTGGTTGTAATGTGTGTGGTGTGTGAGGCCGCATGTAATGTGCATAGTGTGTGCAGTGTATGCTGGTTGTATGAAATGCACACAGTGTGTACTAACTGCATGTGATGTGTGTAGTGTGTGCGGTGTATGCTGGCTGTATGAAATGCATACAGTGTGTACTAACTGCATGTGATGTGTGTAATGTGTGCGGTGTATGCTGGCTGTATGAAATGCATACAGTGTGTACTAACTGCATGTGATGTGTGTAGAGTGTGTGGTGTATGCTGGCTGTATGAAATGCATACAGTGTGTACTAACTGCACGTGATGTGTGTAATGTGTGCGGTGTATGCTGGCTGTATGAAATGCATACAGTGTGTACTAACTGCATGTGATGTGTGTAGAGTGTGTGGTGTATGCTGGCTTTATGAAATGTATACGGTGTGTACTAAAAGCATGTAATGTGTTTGTGGTGCGCTTGTCGTATGTAACGTGTGTGGTTTGTGCTGGCTGCATATAGTGTGCATTTGTGTTGTGTGCTAACTATATGTAGTGTATGGGTACTCTCTTTTGGTTGCCCGCTCCTGCTTAGCTTTCCTGGTGGATTTTCCAGGCTCCCTGGTTGTCCTGCTGGGTGTCATATTCCCTGGCAGTCTAAATGGTAAAGAGAGGTCTGCAGCCCTGGCGAGTGCAGATTTCAGGAATAGTTCCTTTGCAGTTTGCTGTCAGTCAGAAAGCATGCTGGGAATCCTGGAAGCTGCACTCAGACTCATAAGAAAGAGCCAGGAAAGAGCGATTACCGAGGTCTGCGCCCACTAGAGGTGCAGGCATCACACTCCCTACCATGAACTTGTCTCTGTATAGCAGTCCTGCTGCTTGCCTGTGGCAGAGCTAACGGTTAAAAATAAATAAATATGGATGCCCAGCGCCTGAAATACATGTTTCGGACATCAGGCAATACAAAGTCCACATCGCTTAACCAAATCATTTTCTTCTCTATGTGTTTGAACACTTCTCTGGGTTGTCAATCAGCCCACTAGTAAACTCCCTTAACATCAATTTTGTGCAACTTCTGTGTCTGGCAACAGAATTTACAGCATGCTAACCCCAGACAAGGTGGATAGATGGCAGGCCCTCTCTTACACTGCCAGTAGTGGCTCAGTACAAACAATAAATAGCAGTAGAAACAGATTTATTCAGCAGTGATGGAATGTTATCCTTATGAACTGCATTGAAATTATTTCTGCCCCATATGATAAGTCCCTAAAAATTTATAGAATGGCCATCCTGTTGCTCTGATGTAATGTCACTTGGCACCCCAGCTGTCCGCGGAATTCCTTCACCTTAATGTTTGCCATATCAACTACTATGAAGTAGAGATTCCTTCCTTTTAGCACCCCAGCTGTTACACACTAATTTCTTCCCCCCATATGTTCTGCAAGACACATATAAACCTATTTTTAAATATGTTTTTCTCCTAATCTATACATTTGCTAGCAAAACTGCCAGCACAATGTATAGACAGAATCGTATGAACATATGTTATTTGGGGCATGACAGGTCCCCTTTAACACTATGGATACTAAGAACTACACACCCTGTAATATTTAGCCATACAAATGCTAAAGCAATTACCATTCAACCGAACTCTGAGCATTATGTGTTCTGATTGGTAACATAAACCTCTTAATTTTAAAATATGGAGCATGATAACCAAACCATAACTAAAATGCTAAAACACAGTAAAATCTCTAAGTCAGGAAGGACTAATAGAGTGCCCTTCACTCTTCCACTTTGGAAGGCTGGGCATCAGGGAAATGTAGTTTATAACAGCTGGGGTCCCAAAGGCCAGTCCCCATTCCTTCCTATGATATTAAAGTGTTTATTTGGAGAGCTCCCATATAGAGCCCTGATATACTGACAGGGAGGGCATTATGGGAAATGTAGTTTATAACAGCTGGGGGTCCCACAGGCCAGTCCCCATTCCTTCCTATGATATTAAAGTGTTTATTTGGAGAGCTCCCATATAGAGCCCTGATATACTGACAAGGAGGGCATTAATCGGAAATGTAGTTTATAACAGCTGTGGTCCTATGGGCCAGTCCCCATTCCTTCCTATGATATTAAAGTGTTTATTTGGAGAGCTCCCATATAGAGCCCTGATATACAGACAGGGAGGGCATTATGGGAAATGTAGTTTATAACAGCTGGGGGTCCCACAGGCCAGTTCCCATTTCTTCCTATGATATTAAAGTGTTTATTTGGAGAGCTCCCATATAGAGCCCTGATATACTGACAGGGAGGGCATTAAAGGAAATGCAGTTTATAACAGCTGGGGGTCACACAGGCCAGTCCCCATCCATTCCTGTGATATTAAAGTGTTTATTTGGAGAGCTCCCATATAGAGCCCTGATATACTGACAGGGAGGGCATTATGGGAAATGTAGTTTATAACAGCTGGGGTCCCACAGGCTAGTCCCCATTCCTTCCTATGATATTAAAGTGTTTATTTGGAGAGCTCCTATATATAGCCCTGATATACTGACAGGGAGGGCATTATGGGAAATGTAGTTTATAACAGCTGGGGTCCCACAGGCCAGTCCCCATTCCTTCCTATGATATTAAAAAGTGTTTATTTGGAGAGCTCCCATAAAGAGCCCTGATATACTGACAGGGAGGGAATTATAGGAAATGTAGTTTATAACAGCTGGGGTCTCACAGGCCAGTCCCCATCCTTTCTTATGATATTAAAGTGTTTATTTGGAGAGCTCCCATAAAGAGCCCTGATATACTGACAGGGAGGGCATTACGGGAAATGTAGTTTATAACAGCTGGGGTCCCACAGGCCAGTCCCCATTCCTTCCTATGATATTAAAGTGTTTATTTGGAGAGCTCCCATATAAAGCCCTGATATACTGACAGGGAGGGCATTATGGGAAATGTAGTTTATAACAGCTGGGGTCCCACAGGCCAGTCCCCATTCCTTCCTATGATATTAAAGTGTTTATTTGGAGAGCTCCCATATAGAGCCCTGATATACTGACAGGGAGGGCATTATGGGAAATGTAGTTTATAACAGCTGGGGTCCCACAGGCCAGTCCCCATTCCTTCCTATGATATTAAAGTGTTTATTTGGAGAGCTCCCATATAGAGCCCTGATATACTGACAGGGAGGGCATTATGGGAAATGTAGTTTATAACAGCTGGGGGTCCCACAGGCCAGTCCCCATTCCTTCCTATGATATAAAAGTGTTTATTTGGAGAGCTCCCATATAGAGCCCTGATATACTGACAGGGAGCACATTCTGGGAAATGTAGTTTATAACAGCTGGGGGTCCCACAGGCCAGTCCCCATTCCTTCCTATGATATAAAAGTGTTTATTTGGAGAACTCCCATATAGAGCTCTGATATACTGACAGGGAGGGCATTATGGGAAATGTAGTTTATAACAGCTGGGGGTCTCACAGGCCAGTCCCCATTCCTTCCTATGATATTAAAGTGTTTATTTGGAGAGCTCCCATATAGAGCCCTGATATACTGACAGGGAGGGCATTATGGGAAATGTAGTTTATAACAGCTGGGGTCCCACAGGCCAGTCCCCATTCCTTCCTATGATATTAAAGTGTTTATTTGGAGAGCTCCCATATAGAGCCCTGATATACTGACAGGGAGAGCATTATGGGAAATGTAGTTTATAACAGCTGGGGGTCCCAAAGGCCAGTCCCCATTCCTTCCTGCGATATTAAAGTGTTTATTTGGAGAGCTCCCATATAGAGCCCTGATATACTGACAGGGAGGGCATTATGGGAAATGTAGTTTATAACAGCTGGGGTCCCACAGGCTAGTCCCCATTCCTTCCTATGATATTAAAGTGTTTATTTGGAGAGCTCCTATATAGAGCCCTGATATACTGACAGGGAGGGCATTATGGGAAATGTAGTTTATAACAGCTGGGGTCCCACAGGCCAGTCCCCATTCCTTCCTATGATATTAAAGTGTTTATTTGGAGAGCTCCCATATAGAGCCCTGATATACTGACAGGGAGAGCATTATGGGAAATGTAGTTTATAACAGCTGGGGGTCCCAAAGGCCAGTCCCCATTCCTTCCTGCGATATTAAAGTGTTTATTTGGAGAGCTCCCATATAGAGCCCTGATATACTGACAGGGAGGGCATTATGGGAAATGTAGTTTATAACAGCTGGGGTCCCACAGGCTAGTCCCCATTCCTTCCTATGATATTAAAGTGTTTATTTGGAGAGCTCCTATATAGAGCCCTGATATACTGACAGGGAGGGCATTATGGGAAATGTAGTTTATAACAGCTGGGGTCCCACAGGCCAGTCCCCATTCCTTCCTATGATATTAAAGTGTTTATTTGGAGAGCTCCTATATAGAGCCCTGATATACTGACAGGGAGGGCATTATGGGAAATGTAGTTTATAACAGCTGGGGTCCCACAGGCCAGTCCCCATTCCTTCCTATGATATTAAAGTGTTTATTTGGAGAGCTCCCATATAGAGCCCTGATATACTGACAGGGAGGGCATTATGGGAAATGTAGTTTATAACAGCTGGGGTCCCACAGGCTAGTCCCCATTCCTTCCTATGATATTAAAGTGTTTATTTGGAGAGCTCCTATATATAGCCCTGATATACTGACAGGGAGGGCATTATGGGAAATGTAGTTTATAACAGCTGGGGTCCCACAGGCCAGTCCCCATTCCTTCCTATGATATTAAAGTGTTTATTTGGAGAGCTCCCATATAGAGCCCTGATATACTGACAGGGAGGGCATTATGGGAAATGTAGTTTATAACAGCTGGGGGTCCCACAGGCCAGTCCCCATTCCTTCCTATGATATTAAAGTGTTTATTTGGAGAGCTCCCATATAGAGCCCTGATATACTGACAGGGAGGGCATTATGGGAAATGTAGTTTATAACAGCTGGGGTCCCACAGGCCAGTCCCCATTCCTTCCTATGATATTAAAGTGTTTATTTGGAGAGCTCCCATATAGAGCTCTGATATACTGACAGGGAGGGCATTATGGGAAATGTAGTTTATAACAGCTGGGGTCCCACAGGCCAGTCCCCATCCCTTCCTATGATATGAAAGTTTTTATTTGGAGCAGAGCAGCCGGCCCGGTATACCTGGTCCCCCCGACATTGAGCTGGATGATCTCCCCGGTGCCCGGGTTGAAGCTGTTGCAGTTCCCGGCCATGCCAGCGGCGGCGGCCTGCGGTCTCTCCCGGGCTCCTGCTCAGTCACTGCCGTCCATGGAAGGTCAGGGGGGCGGTGGGGTGCCGGCGCTCTCCCGGCCTGTCTCCTACAGGGCTGGGCTGAGGGGGGCCCTCCTGCCAGCTCGGTGACCCGGTGGGAGAGTGACAGAAGCCGCTTCCCATTGATCCGGGCTGGGCTGCGTCAGTCACGGCCTAGGCCTCAGCGCTCGGCCCACCGTATCCATGGCAACCACCCATGAAGGATCGCTGGCTGCTGATTGGCTGGAGGTAGGGAAGGAGGATAGACAGAGCTGGGGATACAGGCAGGGATGGCAAGTCCTTTAGCATCCTCAGCTGTGCTTCATGGGAAATGTAGTCCACAGCAGCTGGAGAACCAAAGCTTAGAAATCAATGGGATATAACAATCATGACATATGAATTATTATTATTATTATTATCAGTATTATTATGGTATCAGCACTTAGAGGTAGGTATTGTATACCTCCAAGGATCCCTGTTTTAGGAGGGACAGTTTTGCCGACGAGGCCTAATGAAGGACAATCATTTCCGTCTTATTTGGGCCTCGTCAGCGAGGTGTAGCTAATACACCTGTAAATAGGGAGAGCCCAAGTTAATGCATTGCAAAAAAAAAAAACAACATGAAAAATATGAGAGCAGGCAAGAGCTCAGAGAAACTTTAGTTGCTTGCCTTTCGGTTAGTCCTCAGTGGGGACTAAAGGGCTATCCGATAAACCTCGCTGACGAGGCCAAAATAACGTTGCAAAGGGAACTTAATGGGGGGAGTGGGCTGATATGCAACTAGTATAGGTTCTCTATGTAAAGGCAAGCAAAAATAAAGAACATCATCACTGGGAAAAAACACCAATAATGCAAAGTGAAAAAACATAGCCACAACATTAAAACCACCTGCCTAATTTGATGTAGGTCCCCCTCATACTGCCAAAACAGCTGTGATGCATCAAAGAAGGACTCCCCAAGACCTCTGAACGTGTCCTGTGGTATCTGTCACCAAGACAGCAGCAGATCCTTTAAGTCCTGCAAGTTGCGAGGTGGGGCATACGTGGATCGGATTTGTTGTTTCAGCACATCCCACAGATGCTCAATTGGATTGAGATCTGGGGAACTTGGAGGCCAAGGCAACACCTTAACTCTTTGTTCTGTTCCTCAAACAATTCCTGAACAATTTTTGCAGTTGGCAGGGTGCATTATCCTGGTGAAAGATGCCACTGCTATCAGGGTACACCATTGCCATGAAGGGGTGTACATTGGCCTGCAACAGTCTCTAGGTAGGTGGTATGTGTCAAAGTAACATCCACATGAATGCCAGGAGCCAAGGCTTCCCCGCAGAACATTGCCCAGAGAATAACACTTCTGCTGTCTAACTTCCTTCTTCCTATAGTGCATCTTGTTGCATCTCTTCCCCAGGGAAGTGACACACCGCTATCCACTTGATGTAAAATAAAACGTGATTCATCAGATCAGGAAACCGTCTCACATTTCTCCCTGGTGCATTCTGACTCTCATGTCCCCATTGAAAGTGCTTGGATGGGTTCATCATGGACACTGTGACCGATCTGCCCCATATGCAGCAAACTGTGATGTTCTGGATGTTATGACCCCTTTCTATCATGGCTAGCATTACATTTCTCAGCAATATGAGCTACAGTAGCTCTTCTGTGCGATTGGACCAGACGGGCTAGCCTTTGCTCCCCACATGCATTAATGAACCTTGGGCACCCATGACCCTAACGCCGGTACACGGATTGTCCTTCCTTACATTACTTTTGGTAGGTAATAACCACTGGAAACACCCCACAAGACTTGCCGTTTTGAAGATGCTCTGACCCAGTTGTCTAGCCTTCACTATTTAGCTGTTGTCAAAGTCACTCAGATCTTTTCACTTTCCTGCTTCCAACAGTCAAGAACCGACTGTTCACTTGCTGCCCAATGTATCCCACCCTTTGACAGGTGACATTGTAACAATATAATCAATGTTATTCACTTCACCTGTTAGTGGTTTTAATAATGTAGCTATTCAGTGTCTATACATACAACAAAGTATATCCTTGGTGGTAGAGATTCCTCCAAATGGAATAGAGAATATATAAAGAAAAGAAAATATATGTAGCGTAGTCATTTATTCATAAAAATATGGACATAGGCAAACATATGAAATGCACTCACAAACATAAAAGCACACAATACTAGAATATGTGTGCAAGTGTTTTGCCCTCACTGGAATGGTATGTATCCAGATGCAATCAGTAAAATAGAGTTGACCCCAAGAAAGCACACAAAACCTTCAGATTAAAGCCTGTCCAATACAAACTCGATGTGTGTTGTCCACTGTCAGTGCAGACTTTTTTAATTGCATTTGCTCCTTCTTTCAATTCTTTCTTTGTAATGGCACAAATTTTTGCAACCTGAGCTAACCTAAATCAATCTACTGAGGTTTCCCTGAGTTTTTGCATGTTCCATAGCCTCTGTTTAGTTGTAATGCATTTATTTAGGCTTCCCTAATTTAGAGGGTTATCCAGATGTGGACCCCATGCCCACTGTGCATAGAGGTGTATCCTAGGCCTAAGGAAAGATGAAACAATCAGTAATTTATCTCGTGCAGTGGGAATTCGCCTGAATTTTGGATTAGCTCAAATGTAATATTTAAGGATTGTATATACTCCTTGGTACACACTCACTGATGCACACTGCATAATCACATCCACTAAATCATAAATACACACATAGAGATTGGTGCATGAAGACACACACTCACTGACACACACCGAACCATATAGACACAAACATTGAACTATACACACACTCATTCACACACAGAGACTGACCCACGTATAAAAATACACACAGTCACACACAAATAGTGACCCATACAGACATTGGCTGACCTAAACATGAACCACACACACACACACACACTGACTGATCCATATACAGACAGTCACTAATACACACACTCTGACCCATACAGAGTGCACACTCACCAGCAGCTGCTTGGATGTCTCACTTGCCAGTGTTGTGACTGATCTCCCCTGAAGCTTTTCCCTCACGTTCTTTACCTTGTGTACATAACTGAGCTCCCTGCACCACTTCCTCATCACCTGCATTGGGAGAACAGCTTGTCTAACTGCCAGGTATGCGGAACATGTCCCAAAACCCATTTTTGCTGAGACGGACGTCCATCATGGGATAGTCCTGGCAAAAATGGGACAGTTGCCAACTATGTGTGCATTCCCATTGACCTTAGCAATGTTTCATTTTTTGTTATTGCTTACATGTAGGATCACTGTTAGAGCAGATCACGTTCATTACTGTATGTGTTTTTAATGCATGGATTTTTAATTTATCTCTCTGTGAATATGAATTCTTTTTTTGTTTTTTTTATGTGAGATTTTTAATGATTTGATATGCTTTAGATTATTATGTTAAAGGGTAACTCCAACCACCATGACGACTTCAGTGATTTGAAGTGGACATGGTGGTAGGAGTCATTATGTGCAGTGTTTCAGCTTGAAACACTGCACATACTGAGGTATTGGCAATTATGTGTCAGGGCAAGTTGCACACATGACTTAGGAAGCCCAGAACTCGGTTCCAGGCTGCCTAATGTCAATTCTGTGCATAAATTATGTCTGTTATCAGCACATACTGCATGCTGATAACAGACATGAAAATCTTCCCTGCAAGCTAGCTCTTACCTCCCACCCTTCGCTCCCATTCGCCTCCCTCCATACTTTTTATTTTGTTTTTACAAAAAAAGTCTCAGTCCACCTCCCACTCCCACCATCTCCATCCCCGGTGCGCAAACGCTCTGAGCCAGCAACTGGTCCAATCACAGGCTTCTCTATAAAAAGCCTGTGATAGGACCGTGCACGGCCCTAGTGACATCAGAGGGGGGCACGGAACACCAGTGCCGAAAGTTTCGCGAATTGGGCATATTACGCCGGAATGGTCCCCCCTCACAATAGGGTTATAGTACCCTTTTAAATATGTTGTGTCACATGCGTTTGCTGTTAAATATAGTATTTATCAGCCCAAATACATGTGACAAAAAAAAAAAGTTACCTGTGCACTATCCCAACTACTATGGATATCTTAATAGCAGTTTTTTAGTACCATTAAAATGTCCATTAAAGTTTAGGCTCACCTGTCACATCAAGGAAAACCTCTTAGGTGAGTCCAATACTAATAATTCACCTTGCTGCTTTCAGTTAAAAGGCAAAATCACATCTCCAGTAAGACCGAAATAGGTATTCTTATGAACCCCTAAAACTAATTAACCCTTTAAAGGGCACACAGGGGGTGGGTGGTGCTGTATCATTAACTATAATTACTTTAAAAAAAAAAATCTTCCATTTTGACCATATAAATATTTGCATGACATGCACAAACGGAATGTGAACCGATCTCCCCATCTTGCTGAGATGCTCTAGAATAGAGTTTCAGCTACACACGTGCACTTAAGGCAACTCTGGCAAACGTTGTGATGAATAAGGGATGATGGGTTATACACTGCATATGACATAGATTCTGGACAGAAGAGCAAACTCTTGGTGTGTAACTTAGTCCCCATAATCCACATGCTGACAACAACAGCAACAAACCCTTCTATCTTGGCTTTAAAGGGGCTCTTTGCTGTTTCTGCCAGCATGTGGATTAGCAGCATGTGCATTAATATTTAAGGTATTTTCTTTATTTTTCTATTGTATGTATTTTTATTCTGTTGTCATAAAATGTGTTGAAGCCCCGGGTCACTTCTAAACGAAGAGGCCCTTTTTAGTTACCACTCTGTAAAATGTCCCTTACCTGCATTCTATACATTGTGCACTAGATGTCAGAGTTGTTCCACTTAAGATTTTTAGAAAGCTTAAAACTTTAAATGAACTCTGAAGGCATTTAAAGGACCACTATAGTGCCAGGAAAACAAACTCGTTTTCCTGGCACTAGAGTGCCCTGAGGGTGCCCCCACCCTCATGGCCCCCCTCCCACCAGGCTGAAGGGGGAGGAAGGGGGTTAAACACTCACATTTCTCCAGCGCAGGGCTCCCTCAGCGCTGGGGACTCTCCTCCTCCTTCGTCGTCATCGGCTGAATGCGCATGCGTGGCAAGAGCCGCGCGCGCATTCAGCCAGTCCATAGGAAAGCATTCTCAATGCTTTCCTATGGACGCTGGCATCTTCTCACTGTGAAAATCACAGTGAGAAGCGCGGAAGTGGCACTAGCGGCTGTCAATGAGACAGCCACTAGAGGCTGGATTAATCCTAAAGTAAACATAGCAGTTTCTCTGAAACTGC